GATTGTAAGTTGTGGAACGTCCGGACACAAACAAGATTAACCAACAATTACAATAATTGGAACCCACACACAGTTAGTTAACACAAACATATGTACAATCAACACATCAAATGTTGTGGATTCTGGCACGACAAACTACCCTTTGAAGAATTGTAGGACTTACAGCAGTACGCCTACAACCCTTCTCAGGTTGACGCCCTAGGTTGGAAAATCGTCGAAGAGTTTATTTGCTGATTTCCTTCTATCAGCTATATCCTCAAATCTGAACAGCAACACGCTCATGTCATTGTATCGTAGAATATAGATGACCAACAAACACACGACGTATCTGATCAACCAAGCGTGCGCACAGAGTGATTTACACCAAAGATAATAGCATTCAAATAGTAACTTGAAACTAGAAATGCCTTTATTCGTGCAAGTCAATTTAACAATTACCCTCTCGTACACATTTGGCTTATCCTCACTAAACTGAGCAATATCTTTCGTCTTTTCAAATGCACCAATTCTATCATAGTCATTGCACAAGACACTTGAGTTGTTGAGCGTCTTTTTCATTGTGGATGACAACACCAACGACAACTGATTGATACCGGTTGATGAACTTAGCGGTTGATCAAAGGCTGTTGTTGTTCGGCTTTCAGAAATTTGTCTAACTGGAAGACCACCACCACTGCTGTATCTTACTATCAGCTCCGGCTTAGCACTAGCATCTGATGATAGGTGGGCTACATGCTGATCAATCACACTGACGGTCTCACAAGTATCCACACCTTCTGCAACTGCATCTGCGTCTAATTCTACTTCACGTTGTAGTTGTACAGAACCTTTGTTCAACTCAGCAGTAGTAGGCATTCCCCTCATTTCATCATGATCAACCAAAGACAAATCTGCACTATCATGATCATTATCACGAATATTCACTTTACCGTCAATTTCATCATTTTCAAACTCTTTAATAACAGCAGTAGATGATTTGGGTTCTTCCTCACAAATCCTTAAAGGTTTTATATCTTCACTCTGACTAGTAATACCTTGAAAACTTGTGGAGTCAGAACTGTCCTCTGAGACTGTAACTCTCCTCTGTGACACTATTCAACAATGGCTTACCATTTGCAACTACAGGCTTCTTCACCACACCGTTGTCATCACAAAATTCGGAGTCAGGCCTGGAGTTTACATTTAGCTTATCCCTGAACTTGCTCACTGATTCACAGTTCACCTTTGTATGCACCTCTTGAAAACGTGTAAAACACAACCGTGTTTGTCCTGCATCTTGTAATTTATCTGTTAAGGATGTACTACGAAACCTGTTACACTCACTAGGTCTATATGCATTACTAGACATCAGGGAGTCTTCTCAATATCCACCTCTCTGGGACCCTCTCGTCATCAATGATTGCGTTTTGCCATCAGACTGCTGTATTCTAGGGGTGGGATGCAATATACTGGCAGACTTGCTCATAGATTGATTGGCACTATCGTTCACCAGTTTCAGGATATCATCGAAGCTTGGCTCGATACCTTCATCCTCTATACGGGAGCTTATCTTCACCCACTTCCTATGCAGTCGAGTAGGTAGGCGTCTCGCTATTGCTTCTAGGATAAAACTCGAGTTGAGGTCACTCATGCAATTCATTGAGATCAACGTATTTTTATAATTCATCAGATTATCCAAAAACTCAGTGAGTGCCTTGGAGTCATCTTGTAATTGACCACCATTACCCTTAACAGACTCGAATAATTTCCCTACGATCATCGAAGGTTTTCCAAACCTTTGACGCACTATGCTCATAGCCTCGTAGTAGCCCTCTTTTGGCTTCATAAACTTACAGCACTGTACAGCTCTTGAAGCAACTCCAGTGCAGTACCTCATCAAATACATCAATTTCAATTCATCATTTAATAAAAAACCACTCAACATGATCCCAAACTCCTTTACAAACTGTAAATAATTAGCTGGGTTTCCGTCGAAACACCGTGGTTCAAATTTAGGGAGTCTGATATTTCTATTATCCCTAGACGGCGAGACATTAACATCAGCCATATCATGCTTAACATCAGACAAATCGTTACAGGTAACAGACAAGTCAGTATGACTCACTTTCCTGTTTGCATCCAAGACGCTCTGTCCCTTCTTTGACCCAGGCATCATTGAACTTGAAATATCCCAGAAAAGTTTCAGATAACGCTTGTTCAGAGAAGACTTGGCCGGCACCAGGAAAGACGGACGGAGACTATCCAAACTGTAACAAACTGTCACCAACCGTCAGAAACTGTCGATCACGTCTCAAAACTGTTAATACCCAGCTCTTGCCACGCCGGGCCTCTCGCTCTTCCTCGAAGCCTTTCTGAAACGCTTAGTACTAACGGACGCAAAAACCAAAACACCGGTTGGCGACTCGAGAATTCTTTATTCTAACGCCAACATATAACCATCGTAATGACTAAGGTCTATGAACAAATATTACAACAATAAATCACGATATTACTTCTGACGGTTTTCTCCTGACTTCTTTCTGAACAGCGACCGATGAGACGATGACTGGTGTATTGATGCCTCCACGAAAATATAGGGAAGTTGGGTTTGAGCGAACAACCATGAATTGATCGTTCAATCTTCAACTACATTGACAGGGTTGCTGGCCTTTTCTCATCGGACAGGTTGTCAAAGTGCTTGTAGTCAAGTGGGATCACTTGTCTAGTTAGTCGGTTAATGAAGGGAAGAAAATTCACATCCGCCGAACGATATGAGGGAATCAGCTCTTCACGCCGAGTTTGGTTTGTACCATAAACGAGTTGGGCTGATGTGCATCCTAATTCTTCTTTGATAGCCGATCGGATGCCGAGTAAGACGAAAGATAAGTGTCCATTTCATGTAGATGTATCATTCTGTGCCATCGGGGAGCCTTTCTGTTGTCTGTGGAATTTTTCCAGAAGACCATTTACTACCGGACGTCATGCAGTTGTTTGGGTCTGTTGCACTCGAAGAAGTCGGGGCAACTTTGTAAGTGGTGTCGATTGGAGTTAGGCTCTTCTTTCAGATGTAGTTGTAGTTGGGACTCCATATTTTGATACCCAGGGATGTAGAAAGACTAGGGCGATATTTTCGACCGATATGTCTTTAAGTAGGCATGCGATAGCCCAGCAGGTAAATCTGTCAATGGATGTAAGAATATGTGCACAGCCCCTTGGTATTAGTAATGGTCCCACAATGTCATTATGAAAATGTTGAAATGATTATCCGGTAGATCAAGTGTCTCTGGAGTTGTAACAGCGTACTGCGCTTTGGAGCACTGGCAATGGGGTCATTCGCGTGCCCGTTGACGAATATCAGAGTTCTTAATAGGCCACACGAAACCTTCGCTAATAAGTACGATCGTGGCACGTACTTAAGGATGAGAAGGTGAATGTAAGTGTTCAAATAAGGCTTTTCCTAAAACTTTGAGGTATAAAAGTGCGATGAACGCCCGTGGAAATATCACGAACGATGGTTCTGTCCGATATACTGAATATCGGTCGAAAACTTGGAAATGTAATTTATTTTTTTATTTATTTTTGTGTTTGATTACGGCTTGATTCCACACTGTGTTTCTGGTACAAGTATGGGGTTTTCAGTATGGATATCGGTGGCCCAAATTTTGTAGGCCGACCATTGATATCAGGTGTTCGATGGCAGGGGATCGAACCTCGGACCATGTGCCTGGTCGGCGAGAGTCATAACCGCTGTGTCACCGACGCAAAAATTCATCCGTCTAGCTTCTATTGGTGAATGTCTATCAAGTGGAGTGTTAAAGGCATGACAAAGGGGTTTATGGTCAATAAAGATGTTGAAATGTCGACGCTATAACAAGAAACCGAAATGATTCACTGCTAGATGGACAGCTAAGAGTTCTCTGTCGAAGGTGTACAGGTTCCGACTTCTTGGAAAAGAAAGCAAGTGAAGTGACATCATTGTTTGATTTCTTCTGTAGGACCGCCCTTACTGCCACCTGCGATGCGTCTATACATAGGTCAGGGGATGCTCTGGAGTTGATGTTGGACAACGTGACGACTTTGGACAAAGCTTCCGCGGCATTACAGAAGGATACGTGAGCTTGTGCTGACCATTTGAACATTTTGTGATCACTTTAAAAGAGGTCAGTTAAAGTCTGTACGATGGAGGCACATGAAGGAATAAAAGGATGATAGAAATTAAACATCCTCACCTTTAATGAGTCTATTTGAAAGAAGTTTTTGAGTCTCTACCTTTTCCTCCGTAGGCCGAATGCCTTCTGCCATTATGTAATGTCCCGAAAATGTATAGATGGAGTACTGAAGATTCACCTTTTCGGATTTATAACAAAAACCGTGTTAGAAGGTCGCCTGGATATTGAAGGCGGTATTACATTAATTTCGGCCCCTGTATTTGTGAACAGTAATGTGCCTACAGTTCTGTCCCTCAAGTAGGAAAGGCAACTTGAATTTTTATTTATTTATTTTTATTTTTTGATTACAGCTTGATTCCACACCGTATTTTTGATACAAGTATGGAATTTTCAGCGTGGATATCGGTAGCCCAAAATTCGCAGGCCAACCATAGATATCAAGTGTGCGTCGGCGTGGGCTCGAACCGTGGACCATGTGCATGGTCGGCGAGAGTCCTAACCACTGTGCCAGTAACAGATGTCACAATAACTGTCTGGCTGAGGAGTTTCTCTAAGCCATCTGTGATCCTGAATCCCATGCAGTAAGTAATTTCTGATCCTGTTTCTCGTTAGAAATACTCCTTCTATGGATCAAAACTGCTTTGAGTCAGACATATTGGTGGTCTGCGGGAGTACTCTCGATTAAATGAGTTATGTCTCTGAGAACTTCTGTAGGAAGTGCACCTAAGATGCGTCCATACTTTGCAGTCTGAGACTCAATACCTCAAGCAGGAAAAAGGGGTTCATACTCCACAGGCTAATACAGATTCTCAAAACATTGAACCTAACGATTAATCCAAATTTTCATTGGACATTGAAAAGTGTTCTAGTACTTATAAAGTTTGACCAAGGTCACCGGGTATACTTTTGATATTTGTATAAGCATGGGCGCCTACATGTCAAAGCCGAATACGGAAAAAGTTACCGACAAAGGAGGGAACAAATGGATATCATACAGCTCATGCTCTATGCAAGGTTGGAGAATGCACCAAGAGGTAGGTTATTCGAGGTTTGGAAATACATTTCAGGTTCGTACTTCCAAAGCTTGGGAATTGTATACGTTAATATTTTATCTATTTTGAACCGCCTAGGCATACACTTCCTTCACGCAGATAGGTATTCAAGTCAGAAGCCGTGTTTCATTTCTTAACAGATTCACTATCAACTGGGCTGTGAAATTACGTATACTGTAGATATTCTTTCTCTATGTTGTATTCTTTTACCACATTACATCCATGCCTGATATAATGTGGATTATTCTGTACACGGAGACTTCATTCCTCAGGAAAATCACTCATTTTCTACCATTAAACTCATTGGGGGTTTCGTGGGAACCAGGACATTTCGGTTCATTCAGTCTCAAGGCATTTATGGAAAAAAATGTTTTTGCGGGTAGTTTTAGGGGTTCAGGGATTTAAATGCTTACACTGTATTAGTCCGCCCCCAAACAACCTCCTAGCTTATAACGGCCCGATAATTCCTTACTTTTTAGTTCAAAATATGCCCTTATTGGTACTGGTGGTTTCAGAATAACTCACTTGAATGTTAGGACACTTCCAGTCTACTATCCTCGTGCATTTCGTATTAGGTGGAATCTCGTTATCAGTAACCAAGCTACAAATATTGTTCAAGTTCTGAATGACAGAGGTAATCGTTTTCAAACTCATGGAAGTGAAAGTTATCGTCATATAAATGTTACCGTTTTGACAATTAAAATATTTGTCGCCACTACATAGCTAGAAATGGGTTCTTATGAGACAGTGCTTATCACGTGTTCATGACGTTTTCTATAGGTGAGAACGTACCTTATCATACTGCACAATGAGCCAGTATTCTATTATGGGTTGGAATAACCAGAATGTGAAAACGATTTTAGTCATTAAAACATAAAGCCCACTGTAATCTTAGAACATCGTGGAAGTAATACGTTATTGTAGCCATTTCTGGTGTATACCATCCAAGTGAAGTTTGACGTAGTGACAGCTATTTCAATGACTCGTTCTCATTAGCTGTGCTCATTTATCCTAGTCATTTAGCCATTTGATGCTACTGGACTCGCTGAATAAGAACCTCTCTTTTGTCGCTTAGGTAACCATTCACTCTTGCATTAGACCATATCAAAAGTATGGATTTTGGGTAGAAAGATTCTATTCATTACCACGTTTATGCTCTAGAATGCTGATATGCTGTTCGCATATGAAAGGGTGTGCTCCAAAGAATAATTCACTCTCAATAAGCACAACATGATTACGAAATTTGAGCACCATGTTGTGAATTCAATCTGGTTCCATAGTTTTAACTGGATCTAAGATGGAACATCTGCCTAGCTCACATTCTAAATACTTTGGCTGAAGTATTGGTTCAGGGATTTAACGGAAGTTAATTCTGATTAGCTTAGGTGTAATAGACTTTATCAAGTGGTAAACTATCTTATTTCCACTCGGAAAGAACCATGGTGTTTATTCTCAGTTATCTGAAAGATCACATTCTCCCTCAGTGCTCAAGCCAGGTGTGTCGTTAGTGTTGTGTCTGTTAGTGCCGTGCATACCAAGCTTCTTCTAAAGTCAGTTTTTTGTAAGTCTCGCTGTGGCAGCTTTATGAAGCGTGGTTTTAACAATACTTTTATTCATATTGTTCCCTTTAGTTCCGAGTGAAATATAGGGCTTCAACAGTACATCTCCACCTTCTATTTCCTGCCATCCTCTTCAGTTGGATCCACGATAGCCCATAATCTCTCATCTCCCCCCACACGATCTCCTCCATGTCACCCTCAGACCGATGACCCACTTGTCGCTTCCCATTTGGATTCCACTAAAGCGATGGTCTGCATTGCGCGCGACTGCATTCGATGACCTCAATGTATGGCCGATCCACCTCCATTTTCTCCTACATATTTGTTGAGCAATAAACTCTCGCCCGTTGGTCTCTTCCTAGCCAGAGTTTCTTGTTGCCAATTCTTTCTGGCCGACCGGCCAGCCGTCCATTTGATCTTCATAATGGGGCCAACCAGCGAAGTAGGCAGCTGCTGATAAAAGTCTGTAACAGATGGTTGGAAATCCTTCTCGTGACACGCACTGGTGAAGTTTATGACTCATATAGACGGACTGACTGACTTCACACGGGTTGAAAATCTAAATCTTGTTCTTCCCAAACTGGTTTCAGGTTGATGAAAGCGTGTCTTGACTTTCCGAATCTGGCTGGTGTTGACATCATCAGTTTCATCTACCTCTAATTGAAACAATGCTTCCTAGATAAGTGAAGGAAGCAATCTCTGTTAGATCTATCCCGCTGGTGGTGATCGGTGCTGGTTGTTGTTGTTGTTCTTGTCGCTGTTTGTTGGTTATCTTCATCACCGTCGTCTTCTCTATGTTCACCTGCAGTCCTCTCGTCATTGACTGCTTCTTCAGCCAGTTTGTTGCTTTTTGCCTACAAGACTGCGAGTTTGTGTGACGTTAAATACAAATCATCCACGCGTGATATCCGGATCTTCTAGAATCTTATTGGTGGTTAAATGTATTCATGTCTTCTCACTCTCACACAGAGTCTGACGCATAATCCAGACCACCACAAATGGGAATATCATCGTGGGTGATAACAGACAGACAGCCTTGTATTATTCATGTATTTACTTCAAAACCAAGCTTCGCTGAGTTTTCCGTTGTGGGTCACCTGACACTTGGAATTGTCATATAGCCAGCCAGCTGTTGAATGAGGTTGATAAAGACTTGGACACTACACTCTGTAGTGTTGAAGTAGTTTCCAAATTACTTCTCAGTCAACTCTGTCTGGTGAAGGTCTTTTTGAAGTCGATAAAGAATGTTGAAGTAGACTGAGGTTTAACTACCATTCTATGCTTTGTTCTGTGATGACGGTGCGTAGAGTTGCAGTTTGATCAGCACATGATTCGCCTTTCTTGAATTCAGCTTGATTCGTGCGGAGTTCTGTATCCAGTGCACCCTTTATTCTCTGCAGGATGATGCAAATTAGTGTTTTACTTGGGGTGGACAAGAAGAGCATTATTCCACGCCAGTCAGTTTTTGCAGAGTGAGGCGTAGGTCGCCTTTCTTTGGCAGCTGGACAAGGTAGTCAGCCTTTTTTCTAATCGGTAATTACCTTTCCTTCCTTCCAAACACTTTTCAACAATGGCGTGAGAACATCTGCCGCATTCTCTGGGTTCGTTTTCAGTGCTTCGGTTGGGTGGGGTAATTCCTTCTGGTCCTGCTGCCTTCCCAGGTGGCCGGTATTTAGTAGCTTGATCGCATTCAGGATTTCTGCTTTCGTTGGAGGATTGGTGCCCACTGACAGGCAGTTCTCTGCGTGTTGTTGTTGTTGGTGTATTTTTTGGTGAGTTGCAGGCGGTGGTCAATTAAAGTCTTTTAAAGTAATGAGCTCATTGTTTTATCTGTTTCACCACCTTGGTGATCTGCCCCCTTCTTGACTTTGTGTCCAGCAGGCCAGGTGTGTTCCCTCATCCTTGATCAGCACTGAGATGAAATCTCTCTGGTTGATAGTGTGTCCATTAGGAGAAATTCATGTCGCTGGCCTTGTGTATATTCTTGTGCCTGTACACGCTACCTCCAATCACCAAATCATTTAGAGCGCAGAAGTCTGCGAATAATTCTCCGTTCTCATTCATATCTCCGAACTGGAGCCTCTCGACTGATGGTCAGTTTTCTTCTTATATTATCTGCCCTCAGCTCACCTGGCATTCATATCACATGTAAGGATTTCGATGTCACCACTTGGAATGTTGTCCATTACTGTTTGTAGTTTTCCGTAGAATTCTTTCTTTTCCACTGGTACTGCGTTGTTTGTAGCACTGTGCATGGCATTGGATAATTGTGACCCTCATTCCTTCCTATTGAGTCGAATCCTGTTGTCATGATCCTGGATGGGAAGATTGGTTCCCACTGCATTAAGGCTTTGGCTGCCGCTGGTGACATCATGATAGCCACTCACTGCTTCAATGTGCTCGTGGTTGTCGTCTGGTTGACCAGACTGTAGTAGATTACTGACTCTCCAGTTGACAATTTTGATAATCCACATCCATTCGAACTGCTCTTGCAGATAAATATCCAGCACTTCTATGCCATATCTTCACACTTCTTGGACTAACTGGACAACCTTCCCAGACAGCCTCGTACATTGTACGCACATTCTATTCTTGCTTTCGTCGAGAAAAGACACGGCTGGCTGACTGGCTTCCCTAGGGCTGACTTTCACCAGTCCGCTTTGTCATTTCGCCTCTCCGATTCGAGCGAAGAATCAGATTGTTATTTGAATTTTTTGTATTTTTAGCATATTTCTTGTGCGTTGCAGTTTCTCTAGCAGTTTGGTTGGTTATGTGGTGTATGGTCGCTAGCCCCACGACGGCCAATCTTCCCTTTTTCCCTTTTCACCAGAAAGCTAATTAACTAGGCGAGGTTTTTAGCAATACTAAGGGATCAAAATACTGTTAATGAGTCTGGCATAGTCGGGAACTCTTAGTTCCCTTACTTTTTGTGGCTTGATTGATGAGTCAAGTCTAAAGTTGTTATCATTAAATGGTTTGCGAGTGTGCAGTAAAATGTACCTTACCATCAGACCGCACTGTTTTTATGATTTATGGCATTCCTAAAATTCCTAAGAGTTTGCAGATAGGCATGTGTGTATAACAAGTACTTTAAGAGTGGTCTTACTTTTGTTAGGGTACTCATTAACCAATGTTTCTCTAGTTTAAGTCCAGTAGAATATTTGCCAGCTGCCTAATACTTTGCGGGGTTACTCACCTGTTGATGAGACTGCTGGAAAGAATCTATGTCTTCTTACCAGTTTTCTTTTGTCGGGAAGTATCGTTCTCTGTATTATCCATCAAAACGGTCATATTGAGTAGAAGATTCATTTTGTAGTAAATTCATCAAGCGATTCCTCACTATCGTCAAGCTTCAACATGTTTTCTGAGAAACCATATGGTTTGTATTGAGGTCGCTGACGTGTATACACGTTTGGCAGATGAACTTCCTGTATCAGACAGCAGTCTTGAATTCAGGAGTTTGCCTATCTGATGTCTTGTCTAACTGTGCTGATATGTTACGCCTGCAGCCTGGGTAGAGTGTAATGCGTCCTTAGTTGTCTTTCAGTGTCACTAGTGGTACATTCGTATATTTCTCAACCACTACAAATTTGCTTTTTTACCATTGCACACTACTGATAACAGATCCAGTTCTGATATGGATTGTACACAGCTGAACTGTTCACTAAACTGTCTTTACGTGAAGTTTAGTCCTGAAAAAGGTTGTATTTTTGGGCTTATAGAGTTAATGACTTTGTTGGATCTGACTGTTTCTCTGTTGCCGATTTCGCCTGAGTTGTAGTCGTTTAAATTTTTTGGGATGATTTAAAAGCCCAGTGGTATGATAAAAACAACAACAATTTTAGCAGTGGTTTCTAGCAACAGTGTGTGAAATGTGCAAGTGCCTGGCTCATATAGCCTAACTGTCTTTGATCATAGATGCCTGCGTTCTATATCCCGTATGAAATGGTATAGCAGGGTAAGTAATACTGAGGTTAGGCGTCGAGTGCTAGGTAAAGAGGGGAAATCAATCAACAAGGCTGTGAAGCTACATCGACCGAGAGAGATGGTTAGGATATGTGTTACGCATGCATTCCTAGCCATCGCCTTCCTCGACAGATGGGCAATGTTAGCTGACATAGGATCAGGTTGGAAAAGAGTTAGCTAGTGGTGGTCAAACCAAAACATGACTGGCTTCATCAGTCAATGAAATCCACAACAGTTAGTTTGAGCCACGTAAAAGGATGTAGACTTCCTGGTTGAGGTCTTCGGGACGGTAAAAAGCAGTGTAGACTGGAGACAATCGGTGCTATGGCTCAAAATCGTTCACACTGTCTGGCGCAGATGCATTCACTCTTTGTGACTTATAATTTCCGATGAAACTACATGGTTCTTCGTTATTGCTATTCTGTTTGTCTCATATCCCTGTCTACTGTCTCTATTTCGCATTTCTTTTTGCTTTCTTCTCTGGCTCGGTGTGCTACATGGAGTGTGGCGAGTCGAACTGCTGCACATCGTTGCAAAGTTCTATGTTGAAAACGGACAGATAGAAAGACAGGGATTCAAAACTTCATAACAGTTAATCTTATCTTGGTGGGCATCTAGAAATGCTGATAAATTTGGTTGATTTGTATAAATCCTTTTCTTTTCATCATTACAGTTTGAATTGTTGTTTATTAACAACAATATTTATGTTACTATATATAGTTGATGTGTGTGTATTCTTCCACTTTAATATTTATTTCTAGGATGCTCATAATTGCATTCCCGATTTCGATGTCTCCCGTGGAGTGTCATTCTTTGCTGTTTACGATGGTCATGGTGGATCAGAGGTGGCACGATACTGTGCTGAAAAAATGCCTAAATATTTAATGGAACATCCAGCTTATAATAAAAATAATAATGATAATAACAAGACAGATATGAAAGAAGCATTGAAACAGTTATTTCTTGATTTCGACGCTACACTGATAACACCGGAGACTAAAGCTATTTTGAATAAACTATCAGAGGCTGACAAAGCTGATGATAATGGTGATGATGATAAGGATTTATCAAAAAAAGAATCACTTGTTAAAATTCATTGCGTAAGTATCACTCACAGTTGTTATATTCATAGATATTTTTATTAGACTCTGGATGATGATGACGTTGACCACGACGATGATGATGTTGATAGTGATGATGATGCAGAAGAGGATGAATGTTATTCAGAACTGTTGGCTTTACGCTCTGAAGCAAATCAACCGTTGGAGCATGTTTTAGAAAAGTATGGCGGAGAAAATGCTTTATCCCCTGCTATAAAGGTAAAAAAAATTATTATTATTATTATTATAATATCCTTTAATTCCTAGAGGAACATAGGGCTTCAGCTACGCATCTCCATTGCCTTCTGTTTTCTGCCAACTTTTTCACCCCGCTCCAAGTCTGCCCACATGCTTTCATTTCCTCCTCACATGACCTCCTCCAAGTCACCCTTGTACTGACAACCAGCTCGCCGCTTCCCTTTCGGGTTCCACTCGAGCGATGGCTTGTCTAGTTATGTCACTTGATGGTTTCCTCAGAGTATGGCCAATCCATCTCCATTTCTTGCTGCCTATTTGTTGCACAATCGGTTCCTGGTTGGTTCGCCCATTGCCAGAGATCTTTGTCGCTGATCTTTACTGACCGGCCATCTGATCTTGAGTATTGGGCGAAGACAACTGTTAATGAATGTCTGTAGTTTGTTTGAGATGCTCTTTATGACGCGCAGTACAAGTCTCTGATCCGTATAGTAGCACTGACTTCACACTGGAGTTGGAAATCCGGATCTTATTTTCATTTTCATGCTGAGTAGTGCTGTTGACCTCCACACAGACTTGAGAGTAATGAAAGCTTGTCTTGCTTCTCCGATTCTGGCTTTGGTATCCTCACCAGTTCCGTCTGCCTGTAGTTGAAACGGTGCTTCCCAGATCGGTAGGTGAAGGAGGTTGTTTCTTTCAGGTTCCTCCCATTTATGCTGGCTGATTGTTGTCTGTTGTCGTTGGCCAGGAATCTTCATCATCTCTGTTTTATCTATGTTCACTCGAAGTCCTATCTTCTCTGGATGCTTCTTCTGCCAACTTGTTGCTTTTCACTTGCATATCTTCCAGTTTGTGGGAAATCAGACATATAAATGTCATCGACGAAGTCCAGGTCCTCCAAGTTTTTTTATGTGAGTCCATTTTATGCATGTTTCCTCATTTCCCGCCGTTGTCTGTCGCATTATCCAATCTACTGCAATCAGGAAGATCATTGGCGATAGTAGACAGCCTTGCCTCACTCCAGTCCTTAGTTGCTTTCTTTCTTTCTTTAAATGTACGATTTCACATTGTCATATATTATCACAGAAATTTACACTCTTGTATAAATTCATAGAATAGATTTCCTCGTCACACGGGCATATAGGGTTGGCTTGGAATAGAGTTAATTGTGGTCAAACTAATCAAAATTTATCATCAATTTATATGAATTTCTTGACGTATGGTTTCAGCCAGTTGGTTGGTGTAAGTCATTGATTATCCCGAAGTAATAGGAGGGAGACAAGTTTTCCTGTGATAATCACACGGGGATTACCTTGACTTTAGATACCATATTAATGGTATCTAAAGTTCTGGGCTCAATAATAATGCGTAGACTATGCGGTCCTCGGGAGGAACAAACACGAGAGAACCAGATGAGCTTTCGACTGGGTAGAGGGTGTATTGATCATATCTTCACCCATCCTTCGACAGATTCTGGTACATTGGCATTCTTACCGGTGGCGTCCAACAATCGTTATATTTTTTGACCTAAAGGCAGCGGAATTCGATTTTGTCGACCAAGAGATACCATGGCGATGTTTGGGTGTGAAACGAATGCCGAGAAAATACATTGCACTGATCAAGACACCCACTCTACTCGAACTCATGCAGTCAGTCAGGTGAGAGCTTACGGCGAGTTGTCATCTGATGTGGTAACAACTAGTGGCGTCCGTCAGGGATGCCCATTATCCCCATTTCTATTCAATTTCACCGTAGATGTACTAATGGACTCAACCGTAAGTGACTTCAGAGACTCAGGGATTGACTTGTTACCATCAGGGAATAATTTCGATGACTTAGAATATGCAGATGATATAATCCTTCTAGGTGGAGACGCTAACAAAATGCAGAGTCTACTGAACACCCTGAACTGCAATCTACGAATGTTTGCCATGCGATTCGCTCCCTCTGTCAATTGTAAGATGGTCGTACAGGACTGGACTACACTGACTCCTAGTTTAGAAATAGGTAATGAAGTGGTAGAGCACGTTGATCGCTTCATTTATTTGGAAGGTACCATCAGCCAACTCCAACTGGGTTGATCTCTGACGAAATCTCAGCACGGATGCACAGGGCTAGTTTCGCATATGCCAGTTTACACCGTCTTCGGCGTAGACATGATATCCGACTGGATTTTGAGCAAAAGGCGGGTGTACTGCTCAGCAGTTCGCTCCGTCCTCCTTTATGGTTGTGAGACCTGGCCATTGAGAGTGAAAGACATGAAAAGACTAGCTAGCTATCTTCGATCATAGGTGCCCGCGCTGTATCTCCCGTGTGAAGTGGTATAATAAGGTGAGCAGTATTCAGGTTAGGCATCGAGTGCGAGGTAAGGAGGGGAAATCAATCGATGAGGTTGTGAAATTACATCGACTGAGATAGTTAGGACATGTTACGCATGCATGCCTAGTCATCGCCTTCCTCGACAATGGGCAATGTTAGCTGACATAGGGTCAGGCTGGAAAAGAGCTAGTGGTGGTCAAACCAAAATATGGCGCCAGTCAATGAAATCCACAAAAGTTAGTTTAAGCCAGCCGCGTAGGAAGATGTAGACTACCTGGTTGGCATCCTTAGGAGGCTAAGAACATAACGGCTGGAAAGCTTTTGGTAATGTAGCTCAAAATCTTTCTCCATGGTTGCACCATGGATTCAGTTACTTATTCTTTCTACCAGTAGATTTCTGCTCACTACAGTCTCTTTCTCCTTCCTTTACCTTTATGTGCTACATCGAGTGTGTCTACTTGGGCTGTTCCACTTCTGTGCAAAGTTCTCTGCTGAGAACTCAGTCAAGTGTGAGTACAGCCTTTCGCTATATTTCGTATTGGACTAGATATGTCAATAAAATGCGGTGGGAAATTGAAATACGGTAACCAATTAAGTATTGTTGTTCTAAGATTGGTAACACACTTGCCTCCTACAAGTGCTTCAAATTATATTTAAACAGTTCAGATCGGTGGTGGTGGTGGTGGTGGGGTTGCGCGTTGATTAAATGTTCATTCCCTAACTGGTTGTTGAATACGGATATGCTTATCAGTGTCCAACCTTTCGATTTTTCATGACCCAAAAGCGGTAGTCAGCCTTGTTACAACCAAGAAGTATTTTGGCTTTGAAGAAAATACCATGGTACTCATTTCAACTTTCACATCAGTTCGTCATCTTCAAGATAATACTTTCATCGCATTGATCATGTGTACGTAAACATCAGTTAAAAGGGGAACAACGTGCTAAATAAGAGAATGAAGGTCAATTTATTCTAAGACTGCTTTGGACGCCTTACGCAAGCTAAGCAGCTACCCTTTCAGCATCACTAGTCAAAGTTAACTGAACTTACTAGTCTTATATCCGGCTTTATTTCGATAAGTTCTCCTTTGATGTTCACTTCTTTTCTGTTCTGTCAGAAAATGCAGCATACTGAGATGGTGGATTTCTGTGTGTTGTGTGTGTTGTTGTTGCTTGAAAATGCGGAATAACCTCTTCTTTACTTTATTCCCTTTAATATTGTAGACTATACTAGATATTCGACGTCAAATGAAAGTTGGTGAATCTAGCCATAGTCCGATCAAGCCGACTGGCATCTCATCAGGAGGAGGCTCATCAAGTGGTGATGTAAAATCCAAAGAAACAGATTCCAGTGACTCTGCTCAAGTGTCTGATAATGTTGGGGTTGATGGTGTTGGTGATACAGAGTAGGTTTTTCGCATAAAACTACTAATACTACCAATAATACTATCATATACCTTTAGTTTTTATTATGTTCAGAGAGCTTATATAGTTTAAATGATTTTTCTTATAATTTATTACTATTTATATATGTGTCTGTGGCGTGAAGTAATTACTGTCAAGAGGAGTAATAAGAGTGATATTCACTTTGCGAGTGTTTAAGACTCTGTGTGCGTTATTTTTATGTGCGTGCGTGCGCGTATGTGTGCCTGTATGCAAATGTGTGTGTGTGTGTGCGTGTCAGTGTCAGAGGATGATGATGGCCTATAAGAAAAACACGAAATTTCAAATTGGCGTCATCTCGCAAAATCTCCAATGATAAATATTAGCAGTGCTATTGTCATGTTAACTTTGTTATATCAAAGAGATTTTAGATCAGGATTCAGTACACACAGTAAAAGCAGTTATTTTCATATCGATCGATTCGTGTAGCGCTCACTCACACACGATAACCAGTAATATTGGCGTATACGGTTCATTGCTGCTTTGCATTGTCTCGTCAATCAATCATGGTTTCAGTAAATAAATGTGTTGTTTTACGACCTAGAATTAATGAAATTCTCTTATTATGTGTGTATGCATGCATGTATATATGAAAGTGTGTGAATATATTTCATGTATTTAGTGCACACTGATGAACTGGCAAATGCAGAACAGTGTGTACTGCAAGTTAAAGTTAGCTGTTTACAATTTGCCAAACATTAAAATACATTTTTAACCTGACCAGTTGATTGAGAAAATCACCTCGGTTCTCATTTAAATGTTACATAACCCACTAAAAAAAGAAATCATGCATCAATTGCTCAATGATAAAATGCTCGTCAGCAATGCAAGAGGTCTGAGTTCGATTCCTAACAAAATAACTCCTAGACTTTAGCTAGTCTAATACTTCAGAAAGGAGGAGAGTAGGTTGAGTATGTGTGTGAGTTTAGAAACTCAGCGTAGGAGTAACGCCACCGCTACCGAGGTTTCAAAGCCTGAAGCCCTTTGTTTAACTCGAAACTCTAGGTAAAGCTTTTTATGCGTATTTTTGGTGCGCGTTGTTTTTTAGTTTTGGTTTTTTGCCTACTTAAAAGAATACAAGTAGTTTAATGTAGTCTTTTTAATTTTTCCCTCCTTATGTTTCTTTAGGACCACTGAAGGAAGTTCTGGTGAGCTGCATTATTAATCTCTAAACGTTATTATTATTAGTTAAGTTATACTTTGAATTTTGGTAGAAAAATTTTTTGTGGCGTTATGTATTACTGTTTATCCTTTTCTAAGCCTTCTAGGAGGATATGTATTTGATTTCAAAGCTAACTAGTTTAGTCTCTTAAAAATGTTCTCCATAAATGAGGATTTGAAACATTTGGTTCTATAGTTTCAGATCGACTTAATGGTGGGGGGGGGGGAGAGAATCACCCTGATCTTCTTTCGGAACCAAAATATATTCCGACTACCATATGTTATCTCGTTGATATTATGAGTGACAATCGAAAAAGCAATGAAATTGCTTCATGATATATGCAGTTTATAATTTTTATTCGTAAACCATGTTGGAAATGTGCTGATGTCAAACACAAGAGTGCTTGATAGTCGAATCAGAGTGATCCAAACATCCGGCGGTGGTTTCGCTCATTTGCGACTGGGCTTATTGGCGGTGTACTACACAGTTTGGCTGAGCTCGGAAAGCCAAATCACTCCATGTGTCCTAGTTTTTGTAGTAAAGTATACACTCATGAACTGGAGTCATTTTTGTTTTTGGGTTGTCAGTTAGTGTGAGTAAATCGTTCTTGAGATGTGTGTGTAACTTCTGGCTGTGGATGCTCAAGTCTTCTCGTATTCTCACCTTCATACCTTTTTACTTATGTGTCTACAGATGCTGCTTCAACGTAGCTAAATAAGTAGAAGCAAATTAGAACTTTGTCTCTGTCTGTCTGGATTCAACATAGAACTCGGCACCGAAGTGCGCCAGTTCGAGTTGCCACGCTCCAAATAGCACACAGAGGTAGACAAGAAGATGAGTGAAGAGAATCAATACAGTCTGATAAGTTTAAGAGTGAAACAGAATGGGTAATGGTAGAAAGGAATATGAAAGATTACAGGGACTGAATACATCTGCGCTGTCATTGACAACGATTTTGAGCCATGTCACCTGTTGTCTGCAGCCATTGATTCCTAGAGTCCCGAGGGCCCCAACCCGGAAGTCTGCATCTCCTACCCTACCTGACTCAGTTTAACTGTCAAGGATTTCATGGATTGATGAGACCATGTTTTTGTTTGGCCACCACTTACTGTTTTCCAACCTGCACCTATATCATCAGGTAGTAATGCCCGTCGGGGGAGGCGGTGGTTAGGCATTCGCAGCACGTGACCTAGCCATCCCAATCTATGTAACTTTATAGCCTCGTCGATTGATTTTCCCTGTTTGCCCAACACTCTACGCCTAACGTCAACATTACTTACCTTGTGAAACCACCTAACGTGAGACAGAGATCGCAGACATCTATGATCGAAAGCAGTCAACCTTTTCATGTCTTCAACTCGTATTGGCCATGTTTCAGAGCCGTAGACAAGGACGAACGGAGCGAAGTGCTGAGGAGTACACACGTCCCTTGGTTGATAGCCGGATGTCACCCCTACGCCAGAGATGGTGTAGGCTAGCGAAGGCTGAGATTTTGTCGCCAATCAGTCCATTGGTGCTGATACGACTTCCCAAATAGGTGAAGTGGTCAACATGTTCGATCACTTCTCTCCTTACCACTAAGCTAGGAGTTGACATAGTCCAGTCCTGTAACAGCATCTAACATAATACGGGGGTGAATCGCACGCCAAACATACCAAGATTAGGAGTATCCTATAGGGTTGGATAGAACTTAGTTACCCAGTAGTCCCGGGTTATGAGTCATACCTATTGTGTATGTATATGTATGATGATGGTACTAACCAAATTGAGAGATTCGAGCCTAGAACGCCTTGTTTGCCTCTGCCACTAAGCCACATCTGCACTTTTAGTCATTATAATTTATTGAATTCATCAGTCGTAATTGTCATTTTCACTCTTTTTTGTGTACATTAATTAGCCAATGATGTTCAATCTAAAGAAAAAGAGGGAAAGAAAGAAGAAGAAGAAAAGGATACAGACTCTAAAAAGACTCCTGCTGCTGATGCTGCCGCAAAGAAGGATTCGACTAGTACGCCTTCAGAAAAACCTGCGGATAGCACAGATGACAACAAACCTGCAAGTGATACATCTGGGGATGAAGATGAAAGCGATGATGATAGTGCAGATTTTGATCCTGAGGTTGAGCTTGAAGAAAGTGATGATGACGATGATGAAGACGACGATGACGATGAAGACGACGACGATGATGATGACTCAGATGACGAAATTACAGGGATATCTGTACCATGTTCCTTAGCAGGTATGGCAGATGAAACTGAGCCTGGTGTAGACAGTGGAACGACTGCATGTGTTGCTGTTCTTGTCCCAGTTAAAGGAGCTATTCGTCTCTATGTTGCTAATGCTGGAGATTCACGAGCTGTACTCTGTCGTGGTGGTGCTGCTGTCGACTTATCAGTTGATCATAAACCGGAGGATGAAGATGAAAAAGCTAGAATAGTTGCTGCCGGCGGAACTGTTACCCGAGATGGTCGTGTAAATGGTGGTTTGAATCTCAGCCGGGCACTTGGTGATCATAGTTACAAGGTGAGTGTTTAGTGGTAAATGTTAAGATATTACATTTTGATAAGGGAATAGACTGGTATACGTTTGTTAGTTTTGTTTCATGAGGCTTTAATATTGATTGTTCAGTTGACGAAGATATTCCACAATGAGTGCTGTTCACATCTTCCTATGGGATATGAGGTTTAATAACCAATGACATATTTCTGGCATCTTATCAGGTACTTCTTATGCTTGCTGACAATCTGCAGTTGTCAGAGACGAAGTAAAAACACAGAGTATTAGTTCATTGGCAGCTAGATTTAAGCCTTACTGCACATCATATTGTGACTGACTTGTCCCGGGAGGGGGGGAGGGCTGAACGTCAAACCAATAGGTTAGTGTTTTCGTACCCCGATCCACCTGTCTATTTTTAGGCAGCCATTTTGGGTACTGTCATCTCCATACAACAGGCGTTGCGAATCATTGGTAAACTGTATGGTAATATTGCAGGTGGTTGTTGTTGTTGAGTAACATTCATTCCCTGCGTCTTGTGAGACTCGACACATACACTAAAAGTATATTGGTATGAGTGGCAATCTCCTTGTGGCACATAATTTTAGGCTTTAGTATTAGATCACTTCAGAAGAATACTTGAGCCAGAAGGGAATATGTTTACAATAACTGGATTTTTAACCAATGATATTGCTAAAATACTAATTCTTTCAAAAATGGTCTATGCTGCCGATGTCACATACATTTTAAAGTGGATTTTTTCAGGAAATACCTATTCGTTGTAAAGGTATCCGATTGAGATCTAGTGCTTCTAATCCCCGACCGTCTCATCTCATTCAATGATTATAATTTTATCATGAGTTTGGGCTCCTAGTGGAACATTGGGCTCTGTCAGCACATTGCCATCTTACTCTGTTCTCTGCGGTGATTTTTAGCTCGCTTCATGATTGTCCGTAAGCTGTCATACGGCCTACTCCGCCACACCCTCTGACCGACGACCAACGCGTCATTTTTCATTTGGATCTTACTCGGTGCCACTCAACGCACTCCTCAGCGTTAATGTCCAAGTCATCTGCATTTTCTTTTGCGTATTTGCTGGGCGATAGGTTCTTCAGGAAAGATGCTCAGGAAGGATTTGTATGATTTTAGAAGAGTATGGGTGGTTAATACTTCCCGGCTGCCAATGTCGTGGAAGTTGGTTGGTTTTTCGGTTACTTGAAATAGAAAGAGGGTTAGTGTTGCGTGACCGCAGTGCCCAGGGGACAACTGCTTGAAGCCGGTCACACACGGCTTGTATGAACTGGTTTCTTGGTTCGGTTCCTTATTTTTAAATTTACCGCCGGTGGGGTAAGTCGGGATGTACAATTTTTTTTGGGTCGACCTCTTCTAACCTCCCCTCTCCAGCGTGGAGAGACAGCATAGCTGGAATACTAATCACCTGATAGAAACACTTCACTGCTGTTACATCCCTGTTCCCCGGCAGTCCCACTTCGCTGACAGACCCCTTTATGGCTGTGAGTGAAACATGGCCACTGAGAGTGGAAGACATGAAAAGATTAGCTGTCTTTGATCATAGATGCCTGCGTTCTACCTCCCGTGTGAAGTAGTATAATAAGGTGAGCAATATTGAGGCTGGGCGTCGAGTTCTAGGTAAACAGGGGAAATCAATCGACGAAGTTATGAAGTTACAAAGACTGAGATGGTTAGGACATGTGTTACGTATGCCTGCCTAGTCATCGCCTTCCTTGACGAGCAATGTTAGCGGATATAGGGTCAGGCTGGAAAAAAGCTAACGGCGGTCAAACAAAAACTTGGCACCAGTCAATGGAATTTACAACAGTTAATCTAAGCCACGTAGGAAGGTGTAGACTTCCTGGTTGGGGTCCTCGGGACGATAAAAACCAATGGAGGCTGGAAACAGTTGGTGACATGGCTCAAAATCGTTATCAATGGTCAGCGCAGATGCATCCACTCCTTGTGACTTATGATTTCCAATGAAACTGTTTTGTTCTTCGTTATTACTGTTCCTTTGTCTGACACCTCTGTTTACTGTCTCTATTATGCATTTCTACCTTCTTCTCTTGCCTTGTGGGCTACATGAAGGGAGTGTGGCGACTTGAACTGCTGCACATTGGTGCAAAGTCCTATGTCGAAAACAGACAGACAGACAGACACAGGCCCGTCAACATAGTGTAAAAATAATCTTGCACTATGCCGGTAACTGCTTTTAGTCTAACCGCTATCCTAACAAATCTTCTTGGCATGGTAGGACCTGCAGAACATATGTTCCAGCCAGTGTAGTTTGTTGGGTCGCCGCGACATGCACGCTCGACCAATACGTCAAGTTAGCAGCTATTCGTCCTGTTAGGTTCTTAGTTGGTGGTTAGCTGCCACTTAGGGAGTTCCGTGTCCGTGTTGCTTATCCTTTCCAACCTGTCATCTGACCCTCAGTATCAAAGCTGTGGATCTATCTGTTGGAAGTCTACAAGAAGAGCCTACTGGAAATTCGGTTGATTATGCACCCGCGAAATCTCTGAACCATATAGAGCAGCCGTGACTCAACATTAATGTTGAGAAACCCGAATCTTGTTCCTTATGCTGAGTGTTCAACAGATTTCCCTGCTAATTTTAAACTACTGAAGGTGTTTATATTTTGTTTTCCGATCCTGACTTTGTGTCGCCTGAAGTTGGGACGACGTTGTGTGAATCAATGAAAGGGGCGAAGTCGTTTGGATTTCCCCCTGCTGATGGCGACTAATGCTTGCTATTCTAAGTGTGGGGTGTGTATATTCATCACATCTGTCTCTTTTCTATGGTTTCGCTTAAAGTCCTGTCTTCGGTGTTAGCTTCTTCTGTCAACTTGTTGGTTTTTGTCTGTTAGTCATCTCTGCAAAGTTAAGATCTACCTAGAATGGTGGTCACATTACAACCTGACTGATAGAATTCAGTCTGCACCAATCAGAGGAGTGGACACATCACACTAGTTACTAGTGTCAAATCGAAAGTTAAGATCTTTCAGTGTGTCTCCTCATTCCTATGTATGCTTTTCATTCGACGAATAAAAGAGCTTTTTGAAAAACTGTTGAATCGTGTTCTCACCGTCTAGTTTCCTGCTGATGATTGTTGGTGATGGTTTCACTGCTGTCTTCCTGAAGGCGCGGCCGATAACTGCTACCTTGTCGGTGTGGTCGGGCTTGAAAATCGTAATGACCCAACATGCTGAACTGACTGGGACTCTGTCCCTGCAGGTCCTACCATATCAGGAAGGTTGTTTGGATGGCGGTTAAACTAAAAGCAGTTACCATGAGTTACGTGAGCTCCAATATCCAGTCGGATCAAATGGCGTATGAACCTATATGGGTCACCGGCAACCATAGGAATACAGCTCCTGACGCTGCTCCGCTGCCTTGCGGATTAGACTCCAAGTCAAAGGCTCGGGGGGGTTGGTCTCTTAATAAAACCACCTGCTTCGGTCTGGGCGCCCGGGCAGTATCTCAGCCCTCACACAATGAATTGAATAAAGCAACAAACAATCAATGAAAATTATCGCGTGCTATTACACGTGTTGCAGTTCCCTTTCTTCCCTTCCCGATGATAGTTAACGAATACTGTTTAAACTTGTTAAGCATGACTGTTTTCCTTCCAGATGAAGTTCTTTATCCGTTCTCTACTTATATATATATATATTCTCTTCTTTCTTTTTATTTTGATCTATGTTGTTTTATTATTATTGTGTGGCGCATCCTTCTTGGTGCCATATTGTACCAAATTTTTATGCGTTTAAATAAATAATTAAATAAACTTCCTTAAGGAGGAATTCTACAGTCCGTCAGACCTGTTACTCTAATAGTCATGTGCGCCAGTCTAAAGTTCAGTAGGTTTGATTACAAATGGGATATCTGCTATTAAAAATAGCTTTTTTACATAATACATTCTGTTACTATAAAGTGTTATTATTATTTTCATTCTTTTACGTCCCCAGTGAAACATAGGGTTGCATGCTAGAGACACTTGAAGTTTTGATAGTAGTGATGTTTAATTTTACAGTGTGGTTGGGTCGCTATCCTCATGCCCCCCAACCTTCCCTCTTCACAAGTCTTATTTACTGGCTTAGCGAAGTAATAGAATGAATCGGTGGCCGGGGATTGAACCCCGTACCACATAAGGCAGGCATGGTTGGTGAGCATTCTACTGCTGTGTCGCCACCGACGCCTGTTACTATAAAATATCCCATACAATGCTTTCCCCTCACATAATCGCGCCGTTTTTCTTCTCGTTTTTTATAGCAAACACCAAATATTCCCTTGACTGATCAAATGATCACACCATCACCAGACGTTACAGAGATTGATCTTATCCCATCAGCTGATGAATTCCTAGTGATCGCCTGTGATGGTGTATGGAATTCAATGAGCAGTCAAGAAGTTGTAGAATTCATTCAGGATCGTTTACATCCTCCTCCTCCTCCTTCTACTACTAAGGCAAACAATCGAAATAATACGCGAAGTCATTCAAAGGGTGCTGGTGAAAAGAATGGCGATGCCACTGAAGGATTGAGTTCAGCTGATAAATTGTCAAAGATTTGTCATGAGGTAAGACAACTAATCACAATATTTGTTTTATTAGAAAATATATCACATTGATGATATTTATTTTGTGGCTAGTAGTCATGGTTTACTTGTTGTTGTGTCTGTTCTGTCTCCCATGTTGGTGGTTTATAATAAAGTGAGTAGTAATATTGAGGTGAGTTTGATGAAGGTAATTCAGTCGATAAGGTTTTGACGTGGCATCGATTGAGATGGCTACGGTACGTGGGACCCTTACCCTAAACCATCATCGTTCTTGATAAGAAATGTTAGGAGTTGCTTTGCGAAAAGCAGGCTGAATCTTTGTTCAGGCTGTAGATGTGTCAGTCGTTGAAGCACACGTATTGTGTTTCTTGATATTAGTTAGGACTGCCTTCGATTCGTTGGACAAAACTCTAGAATTATCTGTTAGACAAAAGTGTACCTGAGAAGTCTGTTAACATCCTTAGAGTTCTATATACAGAGGGCATACAAGCAGCTGTCATCACTGTTGCCAACCAACAGTAGGGTCATCCGACAGGGTTGCCCAATCTCTCTTTAACTTTGCCATTAGTGATATCCTAGAGTCACCTCTGAAGGGCGTACGTCGTGGTTGTGATGGTGTAGATCTGCTTCTTGGAGAGAGACTTTTCGACCTCTGATATGCAGACGATATCGTCGACTGTGCGATAGCATTCAGGCTGACCAAATCACAATTAGTCAGTTGGCAACTAGTGTTTGTAAGTATGCTATTTGCTTCGCGCCGTCTCAGTATAAAGTAGTACTATTATAGAATTGATCGAAGTCTGTACCTTCGCTTACTCTTGCAGGTGAACCACTTGAATCTGTTGGTAATTTCATGTATCTTAGTAATTGTGTGGTTGCTAGTGGAGGCGTGACCGACGAGATTTCTAACCGTGTAGTTAAAAGTGGAATGACAGTTTGAGCCACCTCTGGTACCGTCGTGATGTTAGCCTGGCTCTTTAAGTGTCGGCTTTACAATGCTTCGGTGTGCGTGTAGTCTTGCTTTATGCCTGTGAAACCTGGCTTGCGTTCGATGGCATCATCGTGTGAGTATTCCCTGAGGTGTTCAGGAGTATGTGTTTGGGCACAGTGAAGATCACTATTCATTGGACGTCGTCATCTGGAATTACTGTCTTCGGTCTCTTGGACATGTGCTACGAATGTCATCCCAAAGGCTTCTGTACCGGCTCTGTCTCTGTTCTCTAGCTCTGGGACTGGATGGGAAAAAGAGCGGATAAATGGTGGTGATCAGCTTATGGCGTAGCGTCTTTGGATGAAGTATATTCGTGTGATAGGTTAGCATTGGTTGATAAATCGTGACTCCCTGGTTGGAATCCAAGAGATAGTTCGGATCAGTGACTCGAAACGTTATCGGATAAGGCCAAGAATCTTGATCAATAGGGAAGATGCTGGAATTTTCTGTTTTCTTTCCTCCCTGAAAGTGATACTCCGAATGTCCTGAATGACGTAACTTATTCATTCTCCTCCTATTTTCTTTTTATATTGTCGCTTTGTTGTTGCATGATGTATCTTCTTGGCACCTGTATTGCATCAATTTTGTGTTTTAAATAAGTAAATGACTGTTGGCTCGAATCAGCCACGTTGAGAAATGTAGACCGCTGCATGGCTGGGGTCATCGGGATTCTAAAAGACTTTTATTGGTGCATTGGTTCAAAATCTTTATCTGATCGACTTGTTTCAACGTAGAACTTTGGACAGTTCTTTACAGCAGTTCGAGTTGCAACTCTCCATGTTGTGTACACAAAGCAAGAGAAGAGAGTAAAGAGTGATTGAACAGAGAGGTAATAATCAGACATATTAGGCAAAAAAAGTAGCAATGTGAAAGAACTGTGGAAGAAGTTTAATGGGCATTATAAATCATCGGCAGTGAATGCATCTGCACCAACCACTGACAACCAATTTTTGAGTCATATCACCAACTGTCTCCAGGCTTCATCAGTTGTTCTTACCATCCCGAAGACCCCAACTACGAAGTTTACACTTTCCTACGTGACTTAAACTAACTGTTGTGGATTTCATTGACTGATGTAGCCATGTTTTGGCTTGATCGCCAACCTGATTCATCCTGTGTCAGCTGATATTACCCATTGTCGATGAAGGTGGTGGCTAGACATGCATGTGTAACACATGTCCTAACCATCTCAATCGGCGTAACTTCAAAACCTCGTCGATTGATCTCCCCTCCCTCCTTATCTAGCACTCGACCGATGCCTCACCTCAATATTGCTCACCCTATTATGCTACTTCACACCTTGATTGAAGACAACTAGCCAGACTATTAACGTCTTCCACTTCCAATGGCCATGTCTCCGTCACAGCCATTAAAGGAAGACGGAGCGGACTGCTGAGCAGTATACGCGATGGTGTAAGTTGGCTAGTGCCGAATGAGCCTTCTGTATCCGTCAGCGACCAGCCCGCTGGCACTGTTTGATGCAACTTCTCAAATAACAAGTGAAATGGTCAACATGCCCCACCAACCACTTCAATCTTGCCTATATTAAAGCTAGGAGTGAGTCGATGTAATCCGATCTCGATAGTATCATGTGGTACCCATGCATTCACCCTGTGTGATTACCCATATTCATTAAACTTATACAGTTTTACCATGTTGCCGTATCTTTCTCTCTCATTGTTGTGTGTATGTGTACTACCTGGGGAGTGTGGCAATTTTGAAGTATTGCGATTGTGTCACCAAAATGAAAACTCCAAGTCTAACGCCACTTGTCGATTTCATATGGACATCTGAGAACTTATTCACTTTTGATGCTATCAACATAACACTAAAATATTGATTTACTCATTTTCCAAAAGAATGGATACTGAACAAAGAGTACTCTTTTCGATAACTTCATCATCAGTCTCCACAGTTATATATACATTATAGTGAATGGATGAATTAGTGTTATGAACTAATTATAAACTACACCTTTACTTAACCATAGTGGGAGATGTTCTCGAGCACGAAAAATTAAGTTCCCAGAGCAACGGCCAATATAACTCGCTCCATCACAAGCGCAGTTGAATTGGTCGATACAACTTGAAGTGGCTAGTCTAGGTACTTCATTTTTCAATCGAGGTAGCACCATCGGTCGTGTAGAGAAGAATACGCGTATTTCGCCAGGATTAAAAGTTCTTTGAACTGATTTTCTTAATTTCCTCGTAATTATTTCGTTTGATATACCGCGCTTGAATGACAATCGTATGTATAAAGGGTTCTTGTTTACGGATAGTGAGTAGTCCTTTTCCGCTTTCTTGGTCATGTGTTTCTTGATGAAATTGTCGGGATAGCTATTTTTCGATCAAAGTATCATATACAATGCTTAATTCATCTTCAATTACTTCTTCTGAGCATATAGCTCTGACTAACTCTGTGGCTGGAAGGTCTTTACTAAATTTCTTTTGTGCTGGAGAGGGACGAAGCTGTGTAAATGTGTATATTATCCTGTTTAAGTGCTTTTTCTATGCAAATTTTTTTTAATGCTACCATCTGGGTTTCTTGTAAGAAGGACGGACATCCAGGAAGGCAATTCTGTTTTGGGATTCCTCTTTGCATATGAATTTTATAGCCGAATGTACTTCATTGAATTCAGTAATTATTGAACTTCCAGCAGAACCATTATCACAAAGAATGAAGGTATTATCCTCCATATATCGGCAATAAAATAAGAGCTTATTGTGATAAGGTTATTTAAAAGTCCATTTTCTAGCTTACTTAGAAAGTAATCAGCCAGAATAGGACCCAATTGGTGGTAGCCCATCGCCACCCCATCCACTTGCCTGTAAAGCGTGTCATCAAATTTGAAATTTACAGTCATGGTACATGTTAATATCAATTATTTTAGTTCATGAATAATTCCCATTCGAACATTAGTAGACAGAAGACAAGTAGTTCAGCGAAGAGTCTCTTTTCGGCGAATTCATTTTCATAGCTGTACAATCGGAAATATATATGGTTATTTTGTGTGTGTGTGTGTGTACACATTGTACAGCTATGAAAATGAATTCGCCGAAAAGAGACTCTTCGCTGAACTACTTGTCTTCTGTCTACTAATTATTTTAGTGTATTTCAGTATGGATGCCAATGTTTTTATCGACTGGTTATCCGTTTGTTCACATATGTAGTAGTTAACTGTTTATAGTAAAGAGGTGTACATTTGTGAATAACGATGTTATGTCCAGAGATATCAGGGTTTTGTCCTAAGTATTAATATTTATTATTTTGTCTACGAATTCAAATACATCTTTGACGGTATGCATCACTACTACCTATATATGTTCATGCAACAAAGGTTTGAGAATATTTACATTAACTATCATTTTTTTCTTTTTAACACTTACACCTTACAGATATTTGATCATTGTTTAGCGCCAAATACAGACGGTGATGGAACTGGTTGTGATAATATGACCTGTATTATAGTTCATTTTATTGATCTACCTGGATGGGTTGAGCATTGTGAGAAAAACTCTGCCGCCGTCACTGGCACCGCCTCTACTATTACAGTTGAGAATAGCACAGTTAAATCGCCTCGAAAACGTTTATCCTCACCATCATCACTAACATCTTGTGAAGTTGATGACGAAGACAACAAGACTACTACTACTACTACCACTACTAATAACGGCGATGATACAAACGGTGAAACAAATCCTGTCAGCGTATCGCCTAGTAGTCAAACAATGCCTAAACGTCCTCGATTAGAATTTTCTAACAACAACAACAACTCCTCTAAGGATGATGCAGATTCTACGATGACTACAAATGGGTCTGATACTACTGGTGTTATCAATGCTACTACTACTACTACTGTTGTCAGTGAATAATCCGTCAGCTGTTTGCGTTCGGTTGTTTGTTTCTCTGTTCGTTTTTTTAGTTCGACTGTTTGTTTTTCAAACGTTGTTGCAGACTCACTACTCGATTAAATAATTATTACTGACAAAAGTAAACAAAAACAAACACTGAGCAGTATTTCGTCTCTTGTTCTCTTCTTCTGTTGTGTTTTATGTATTGTTTGTATTTTTTTATATTATTCAATTCTCTTGTTTATTCCTTTTACTGCTGCTGTTATTAAGGATTTAAAAAGTTTCTACTGTGCTACATACCACCCCCCTCAAAAAAAACAAACTACTAATGTTTGATAATCCCATTAAAAGAAAGTGCATTTATTGAAATTTTTCATCTTGTTTATCCCCCCCCTGAGAATCATCTTGCACCATGATGAAAAAAAAATTCTACACATTTTTACAAAAAGAAAACAAGGATTAACTCTAACTTCTCTAGTCTCTTGTTTTGTTGTATGTAAATTTCACTGGCGAATACATGAATGTGAACAGGAAAGACAACGGAGTACTTCTCGACTAGGCGTCACTGTTATTTCAGTAATCATTTCTGTATACTGCGCCTCCTTTTTTTGTTTTTGTTTGTTTTACTATCCCAATTATCTTTGTCTATCTGTCCCCTAGCTCCTTTGTCTTCTTACAATCCCACTTTGTGGTGTGTGTGTGTGTGTGTGTGTGCGTTTTACCTTCTAGCACTGATTAACTGACTGGCTGGCTAACTGGCTCAGCAGAGTGTGGTTGTCACATACTTTCTTGTCAAATAATGCAATATGAATAAAATTGTCTTCCTTTTTTATTATTTAGACACAACACTGCCTTTCTATTCGTTACTTATTTCTAAAAGTTGTAAGTTTCTACTGTGGTTGCACAGATATATATATATATATATATATATATATATATATACATATCGCGTTTCTTCCCCCCCTTTCTCTGCGTAGTATTATAATAAAAACGCGCTACTGTTGTTTCACGTTGACTCTATTTCTGTTTTTGTTGTTTTTTCTTTTGGTTTCTGTCACTACTTGTATCTCATCTCTCCCGTGTGTGTGTGTGTGTGTTCTTATATATTGTTTGTCGATTACTGTTCAGATTTATTTTGCTCAAATTTTCTCTCTCTCTATTGCTGTGTATAAATTACTATATATATTATGATAGGACACTCAAATTGTTTTTTGTTTATGCTCATCTTTTAAACACTGTTGTTTCTTTGTTACATAATGTTATTCCATGTATACACATACAACACAACATACGAAAAAAAGAAGAAGAAGATGGAGAAAGGAGGTTCAGTTTATTACCGAATAAAGATCTTGTTCTAATCTGTAATTTGTTGCATCTTTTTATCAGTACTAAAATACAAACAAATTTTTGTCTCATAGTTTTTTCCAGCCTGATCCTATATCCTCTAACATTGCCCATTGTCGAGGAATGCGATGACTAGGAATGCATGCGTAACACATGTCCTAATCATCTCTCTCAGTCGATGTAGCTTCACAGCCTTGTTGATTGATTTCCCCTCTTTACCTAGAACTCGACCGATGTCTCACCTCAATATTGTTCACCTTGTTATTCCACTTCACACGGAAGATGCAGCGCAGGCACCTATGATCGAAGACAGCTAATCTTTTCATGTCCTCTACCCTCAAATGTCAAGTCTCACAGCCATGTAGGAGGACGGAGCGGAATGATGAGCAGTACACCCGCCTTTTTCTCGATAGTCGGATATCACGTCTAATAAGCGAAAGACGGCGTAAACTGGCATATGCGAAACTAGCCCTGTGTATCCGTGGTGAGATTTCGTCAGAGATCAACCCAGTTGGCGTTGGCTGATGGTACTTGCAAAAAAGGGAAGCGGTCAACGTGCTCTACCACTGCACTACCTATTTCTAAACTAGGAATCAGTGTATTTCAGTCCTATAACATCATCTTACATTTGGTGGAAGCGAATCGCATGGCAACATCCGTAGATTGCAGCTCAAGGTGTTCAGAAGACTCTACATTTAGTCATCGTCCTCGCCTAGAAGGACTATATCGGAATATATTTTGGTTCCGAAAGAAGATCAGGGTGATTCCCCCCCCCCTCCACCATTAAGTCGATCTGAAACTATAGAACCAAATGTTTCAAATCCTCATTTATGGAGAACATTTTTCAGAGACTAAACTAGTTAGCTTTGAAATCAAATACATATCCTCCTAGAAGGCTTAGAAAAGGATAAACAGTAATACATAACGCCACAAAAAATTTTTCTACCAAAATTCAAAGTATAACTTAACTAATAATAATAACGTTTAGAGATTAATAATACAACTCACCAGAACTTCCTTCAGTGGTCCTAAAGAAACATAAGGAGGGAAAAATTAAAAAGGCTACATTAAACTACTTGTATTCTTTTAAGTAGGCAAAAAACCAAAACTAAAAACAACGCGCACCAAAAATACGCATAAAAAGCTTTACCTAGAGTTTCGAGTTAAACAAAGGGCTTCAGGCTTTGAAACCTCAGTAGCGGTGGCGTTACTCCTACGTTGAGTTTCTAAACTCACACACATACTCAACCTACTCTCCTCCTTTCTGAAGTATTAGACTAGCTAAAGTCTAGGAGTTATTTTGTTAGGAATCGAACTCAGACCTCTTTCATTGCTGACGAGCATTTTATCATTGAGCAATTGATGCATGATTTCTTTTTTTAGTGGGTTATGTAACATTTAAATGAGAACTGAGGTGATTTTCTCAATCAACTGGTCAGGTTAAAAATGTATTTTAATGTTTGGCAAATTGTAAACAGCTAACTTTAACTTGCAGTACACACTGTTCTGCATTTGCCAGTTCATCAGTGTGCACTAAATACATGAAATATATTCACACACTTTCATATATACATGCATGCATACACACATAATAAGAGAATTTCATTAATTCTAGGTCGTAAAACAACACATTTATTTACTGAAACCTTGATTGATTGACGAGACAATGAAAAGCAGCAATGAACCGTATACGCCAATATTACTGGTTATCGTGTGTGAGTGAGCGCTACACGAATCGATCGATATGAAAATAACTGCTTTTACTGTGTGTACTGAATCCTGATCTAAAATCTCTTTGATATAACAAAGTTAACATGACAATAGCACTGCTAATATTTATCATTAGAGATTTTGCGAGATGACGCCAATTTGAAATTTCGCGTTTTTCTTGTAGGCCATCATCATCCTCTGACACTGACACGCACACACACACACACATTTGCATACAGGCACACATACGCGCACGCACGCACATAAAAATAACGCACACAGAGTCTTAAACACTCGCAAAGTGAATATCACTCTTATTACTCCTCTTGACAGTAATTACTTCACGCCACAGACATATATAAATAGTAATCAATTATAAGAAAAGTCATTTAAACTATATAAGCTCTCTGAACATAATAATAAAAACTAAAGGTATATGATAGTATTATTGGTAGTATTAGTAGTTTTATGCGAAAAACCTACTCTGTATCACCAACACCATCACCCCAACATTATCAGACACTTGAGCAGAGTCACTGGAATCTGTTTCTTTGGATTTTACATCACCACTTGATGAGCCTCCTCCTGATGAGATGCCAGTCGGCTTGATCGGACTATGGCTAGATTCACCAACTTTCATTTGACGTCGAATATCTAGTATAGTCTACAATATTAAAGGGAATAAAGTAAAGAAGAGGTTATTCCGCATTTTCAAGCAACAACAACACACACAACACACAGAAATCCACCATCTCAGTATGCTGCATTTTCTGACAGAACAGAAAAGAAGTGAACATCAAAGGAGAACTTATCGAAATATAGCCGGATATAAGACTAGTAAGTTCAGTTAACTTTGACTAGTGATGCTGAAAGGGTAGCTGCTTAGCTTGCGTAAGGCGTCCAAAGCAGTCTTAGAATAAATTGACCTTCATTCTCTTATTTAGCACGTTGTTCCCCTTTTAACTGATGTTTACGTACACATGATCAATGCGATGAAAGTATTATCTTGAAGATGACGAACTGATGTGAAAGTTGAAATGAGTACCATGGTATTTTCTTCAAAGCCAAAATACTTCTTGGTTGTAACAAGGCTGACTACCGCTTTTGGGTCATGAAAAATCGAAAGGTTGGACACTGATAAGCATATCCGTATTCAACAACCAGTTAGGGAATGAACATTTAATCAACCCGCAACCCCACCACCACCACCACCACCACCACCGATCTGAACTGTTTAAATATAATTTGAAGCACTTGTAGGAGGCAAGTGTGTTACCAATCTTAGAACAACAATACTTAATTGGTTACCGTATTTCAATTTCCCACCGCATTTTATTGACATATCTAGTCCAATACGAAATATAGCGAAAGGCTGTACTCACACTTGACTGAGTTCTCAGCAGAGAACTTTGCACAGAAGTGGAACAGCCCAAGTAGACACACTCGATGTAGCACATAAAGGTAAAGGAAGGAGAAAGAGACTGTAGTGAGCAGAAATCTACTGGTAGAAAGAATAAGTAACTGAATCCATGGTGCAACCATGGAGAAAGATTTTGAGCTACATTACCAAAAGCTTTCCAGCCGTTATGTTCTTAGCCTCCTAAGGATGCCAACCAGGTAGTCTACATCTTCCTACGCGGCTGGCTTAAACTAACTTTTGTGGATTTCATTGACTGGCGCCATATTTTGGTTTGACCACCACTAGCTCTTTTCCAGCCTGACCCTATGTCAGCTAACATTGCCCATTGTCGAGGAAGGCGATGACTAGGCATGCATGCGTAACATGTCCTAACTATCTCAGTCGATGTAATTTCACAACCTCATCGATTGATTTCCCCTCCTTACCTCGCACTCGATACCTAACCTGAATACTGCTCACCTTATTATACCACTTCACACGGGAGATACAGCGCGGGCACCTATGATCGAAGATAGCTAGCTAGTCTTTTCATGTTTTTCACTCTCAATGGCCAGGTCTCACAACCATAAAGGAGGACGGAGCGAACTGCTGAGCAGTACACCCGCCTTTTGCTCAAAATCCAGTCGGATATCATGTCTACGCCGAAGACGGTGTAAACTGGCATATGCGAAACTAGCCCTGTGCATCCGTGCTGAGATTTCGTCAGAGATCAACCCAGTTGGAGTTGGCTGATGGTACCTTCCAAATAAATGAAGCGATCAACGTGCTCTACCACTTCATTACCTATTTCTAAACTAGGAGTCCAGTCCTGTAAGACCATCTTACAATTGACAGAGGGAGCGAATCGCATGGCAAACATTCGTAGATTGCAGTTCAGGGTGTTCAGTAGACTCTGCATTTTGTTAGCGTCTCCACCTAGAAGGATTATATCATCTGCATATTCCAAGTCAACGAGATTATTTCCTGCTAGCAAGTCAATCCCTGAGTCTTTCAAGCGAGTTAAGGTTAAATCCATTAGTACATCTATGATGAAATTGAATAGAATTGGGGATAATGGGCATCCCTGACGGACACCACTAGTTGTCACCACATCAGATGACAACTCGCCGTAAGCTCTCACCTGACTGACTGCATGAGTTCGAGTAGAGTGAGTGCCTTGGTGAACAATATTGAGGTTAGGCCTCAGGCAAGTGCTACTACTGATAACAGATCCAGTTCTGATATGGATTGTACACAGCTGAACTGTTCACTAAACTGTCTTTACGTGAAGTTTAGTCCTGAAAAAGGTTGTATTTTTGGGCTTATAGAGTTAATGACTTTGTTGGATCTGACTGTTTCTCTGTTGCCGATTTCGCCTGAGTTGTAGTCGTTTAAATTTTTCGGGATGATTTAAAAGCCCAATGGTATGATAAAAACAACAACAATTTTAGCAGTGGTTTCTAGCAACAGTGTGTGAAATGTGCAAGTGCCTGGCTCATATAGCCTAACTGTCTTTGATCATAGATGCCTGCGTTCTATATCCCGTATGAAATGGTATAGCAGGGTAAGTAATACTGAGGTTAGGCGTCGAGTGCTAGGTAAAGAGGGGAAATCAATCAACAAGGCTGTGAAGCTACATCGACCGAGAGAGATGGTTAGGATATGTGTTACGCATGCATTCCTAGCCATCGCCTTCCTCGACAGATGGGCAATGTTAGCTGACATAGGATCAGGTTGGAAAAGAGTTAGCTAGTGGTGGTCAAACCAAAACATGACTGGCTTCATCAGTCAGTGAAATCCACAACAGTTAGTTTGAGCCACGTAAAAGGATGTAGACTTCCTGGTTGAGGTCTTCGGGACGGTAAAAAGCAGTGTAGACTGGAGACAGTCGGTGCTATGGCTCAAAATCGTTCACACTGTCTGGCGCAGATGCATTCACTCTTTGTGACTTATAATTTCCGATGAAACTACATGGTTCTTCGTTATTGCTATTCTGTTTGTCTCATATCCCTGTCTACTGTCTCTATTTCGCATTTCTTTTTGCTTTCTTCTCTGGCTCGGTGTGCTACATGGAGTGTGGCGAGTCGAACTGCTGCACATCGTTGCAAAGTTCTATGTTGAAAACGGACAGATAGAAAGACAGGGATTCAAAACTTCATAACAGTTAATCTTATCTTGGTAGGCATCTAGAAATGCTGATAAATTTGGGCAATGTTAGCTGACATAGGATCAGGTTGGAAAAGAGTTAGCTAGTGGTGGTCAAACCAAAACATGACTGGCTTCATCAGTCAGTGAAATCTACAACAGTTAGGTTAAACCAACCACGTTGGAAGGTGTAAACTTACTGGTTGGGGTCCTCGGAAGATTAAAAACCAATGGTTGGAAACATTTAGTGATATGGCTCAAAATCGTTCCCAATGGCGCCAATGCATCCACTCCCTGTAAACTTATAATTTCCATTGAAACTACATTGTTCTTCGTTATTACCACTACTTTGTCTCACACCTCAACTTACTGTCTCTATTATGCATTTCTTCTCTTGCTTTGTGTGCTACATGGTGTGGCAACTTGAACAGGCGCACATCTGTGTAAAGTTCTATGTCGTAAACAGACAGTCAGTACCCAGCAATGAATGGGAATGAATTACCGCACTACAAAGTGACATCTCGAAATTGTATAAAGAAGTAGGATGAAGGTTGACAAGTCAATTATTAGAACTCCTATAAGCAAGCTATAAATTCAACAGTTTGGAAGCAAACATGAAATTTTTTTATGCAGTCATTATTGCAAAATACACACACACACACACCAATATGTTTCTTTAGAGATCTGCGTTATGTAAGGCCGTAAATCTAAGGCACGCAAGTTCAGTAATCCTGATATATATGCATACTGACTTAGGTTGGCTATAGCATAATTCTAAGTTTAGTTTCTTCACTCGTCAGAGAACTAGTTGCTTCCCCTCCCCCACCATTTTCTAAATCGATAATTTATTCATGCAATGTTTGTTTGGTGAATGAATGTACACCTGAGTTGCCCCGGTATTCGAGCCACCAAGACAGCTCGTGTACCACCGATGATAGACGTATTCTGACTTAGCATAGACTGCTCATATAACAGCTGAGTATTGCCCATGATGTTGGTAGTAATTGCAGTGAAATTATGACTCGGCAAACAATTTGATTCTCGTAGAACAGCTGGTAAGGCGCCAAACAAGTAGTACGAAGGAGGTCGTTAGTCAGAATTTTGCCGCTAGCCAGATTTTCATTATCACCGACTATCAACAATAATCTTCTGATAATCTGATAATTACACCACAGATTATCTATTTAATCAGGTAATTCAAGTTGTGTACAACTGATGAAAAACTTTATATAAGCATATACATTAACAGGGAACTGATTTCATCTTGTGAATTTTCTTGTCATCGTATTATTAATTCTCTTTCTGGACTCAGTAATAGAGAAAACCCATACCAGCTGTAAACCAAATCTAGTTTCCAGGACTTCATCATGAGTTGACATAGGTTTGAGAACCATTGGGAAACCTAGGAGTACTGGACAGCCAGCTGTTTCGTCAGCCTAGCTTGGGACTCTGCCTCGGCAGTATGCACTCGCCACAAGGGGCCCAGTTCAGGCGAACACTAGCCAATGTCTTCGGCAAATATTTATCCTCACACCCCATCTGTTGTACCTTACTGGACATGACTTCCCACTGGAACGCCAGGTTATTACCTACCTGAATCGGGTTAGTCTCTAGTGAGCATCTAACCCCGGTGGGTGGGTACTGATGACGAGTCCCAGACAAGGACGAAAAAGGTGGCTGGCTGGTTTTCCAATGGCTCCCTAACCGATATCAGCTCATAATGAAATCCTGTAACCAATCAATCAAATCCCTACAAACCAATATTCGATAATCTAGTTTCCACTGGTAACTGACAAAAGAATGAACTCACCAAGAGTTTTAGCTAGAAACCCTTAACACTGGGGTCCACCTAGTCAGATGTGACGATAAATACTCACTGATGACAATGGAAGAAGTTAGAATTCATGTGCACTGTTGCCATAAACGATCTGATACACACGTACGGGAGTAGACTTCGGTCGCGTTCTCCGGAAATGCTGTTTCATGTCGCCACGCGCTTGAATGGCCTCTGCCGAGTAAGTTCTATTCGCTGCCTTCTCGCGGCAGCGACAGGTGTTCCTTACAGAAGTAGTGATAGGATAAATGCGAACGACTGGCGCTTACACCAAACCAAACAGATTGGCATCCAGGTCTACCTAGGGGAGTCAGAAAACCTTCATTCCTAAAACTTGTAGTGAACATTGGTTTCAACATCTGAAAGAATCGAAAGGTGGATATAGACTTGTTCCAGTTACTGAAAACCATTGCCTTGCGAGAATCAGACTTCAAGTCCAAAGTTCCGGGAGAAGGCAGGTGGTCTATTAAGACAACCACCACCTTCTTCGATCTTGATGTCTGGGTAGTACCTCAGATATCGCAAAAACTAGGAGACTATTTGTGTGGCCCATAGGATGCCATGTTCTTGTTTTAATAATTAATGATAATGACTGACTGGCTGGTTTCAACGCAGAACTTTGAACAGATGTGCAGCATTTCCAGTCGCCACACTTCCTCCTTGTAGCACACACACACACACAGCAAGAGAACAGAGATTTAAAAGAGACTTAACAAACAGAGATATTAGGCAAAAAGAATAGTAATCTGTGAGAACCATAGGACTTTACATATCAGAAAGAGTTGATGCATCTCTGTTAACCACTGAGAACGATGAGGATGAGCCATATTACCAATTTTCTCCAGCCTCTTCATTGGTTTTTACCATCCCGAGGACACCAACTAGCTAGACAGGAAGAAAGTCTACACCTCCCTACGTGACTAACTGACTTAAACTAACTGTTGTGGATTACATTGACTGATGAAGTCAGCCATATTTTGGTTGGACCACCACTAGCTAACTCTTATCCAACCTATGTCAGCTGACGTTGCTCAATGTCGAAGAAGACGATGGCTAGACTAGGCATGCGTAACACACGACCTGATCATCTCAATCGATGTAACTTCGCAGTCTCGTCTATTGATTTTCCCTCCTTGTCTAGAACTCTCTGGACGCGAGAGATTGAACACAGACACTTATGAATAAAGACAGCTAACTGACCTTATCGCATCTTCCACCTTCAATAATAATAACGGAATATTCAGGAATCGCCCATTGAGTCCCACCCCAATGATGAATATATAGTCCTACTGGGTGAGTACTGCAGAAGCCAGTTCTTCATCCTATTCGAAACAAAATACTACTACTTATTTTCGATTCACAGTAGTTAGTAGTAAATCAAATGAAATAACAAAAGAAACGACTCCTCCGTATAAAATATATTTCCTTTAATTTATATTAGACACAGGTGGGCATTACCGATGATGATAATAATACCAGTAGTACTGTACAAGGAAGGATAAGTGATTGAAATGACGTATAAAAAATACCATACGCAGTCAAATTCATCATTACCATATTCGGCATAAATAAATAAACAGGCAATTACACATTCACGCACACACACACACACACACGTACATACACCCCCATACAAAAGATGAAGGCCACCGCCCCGCATACATTGAAATGGACACATATAGATATATGATATGATCCGCCCCCCCCCTCCATCTATCTATCTATTCAATCGTTGCAATTTCTCATGAATACATCGAAGTGAATTAATCCATTGTTGTTGGTTCGATGTTCTACCACCATCACCACCACTAGTACTACGATCAATATCATCGACACATGTTGTTGCTATCTCTGAATTCAAATCGACTAATAGGCCAGTAATTTGATTCAATATACGATCTGTTTGTAGCATACGTTGCCTTACCGGTAGACGAATAACTGTTAACCTTAGAAAATCATCAATCACTGTAATCAATGCATTGAATAAACGATGTTGGACTTCATCACGACGCCATAATGAATCTTTAAAGTGGATTAATTCATTATACGCTTCTGTAATATTGGCAATACACAATAGGTGAGAGTCACGAAGGATATTTGGTACCCAACTGGCGCTAAGTTTATGCTGAATTGCATAATATTCAAGAGTGGAGATGATATCAGCTGTAACAAGAAAACAAATGTGAAAATAAATATCTATGAAGGATAATACTGGTTTGAAAAGGATTAACATCCTAATAAAATCTGAAATGCACAGGTTGAATTCAATTTACAATCAAAAGTTTATATCCTGTAAAAATGCGTCTAATATATGGAAACTTTTCAAAGAAATTACTGGTGGTAAGCAGATGAACAGTATTCCTTATTCCTTTGATGTTTGCACACTAAACAAGTCTTAACTATATTCTCCCACAAATGCCAAACTTTCTAGTGTTAGAAGTGTAAATGAAACCTGCTTCCTTGGTTTGAATACAAATGATGTTCAAAAATGTCTCCAGTCTCTGAACCCTTCTTGTAGCCTGGGCCCAGACTTTTTGCCTAGTGTTATTCTTAAAAAGTGTGCAGACATCCTGTGTTATCCTCTCATGGACATATTGAACGAATCTTTTTCCTGAAATGTTGTGCCAGCCGTGTGGAAGGACATTAAAATTGTACCTATACCTAAGTCGTCTACTGGAACATGTTTTAAATTTAGACCTATTGCTATTACGTCTCCTTTTCTAAAGGCTATGGAAAAGTTACTCTTACTTAATCTTCAACCTTCACTTAAAGCCTTTAACGATCCCAAACAATTAGCTTATAAACACAGTAAAAGTACTTTAGATCCAGTTGCAGTCTTGTACCATATTATTATCTGCACCTTAGACAAGGGGGCTAAATTTGTTCGCTGCACCTTCCTAGATTACACATCTACTTTCGACTCAGTACCTAGGGACATTTTGTTAAACAAGCTTGCTGAATGTCAAACTGACTGTGGGTTTGTCAAATGGCTGCATTCTTATTTCTCAGGAAGAAAGCAGTACACTGTATGTCAGGGAAAGTCGTCCACTTCTTTGCTTACTGAGGCTGGTGTCCCTCAAGGCGCTGTCCTTTCTCCTTTTCTGTTTTCTTTCTTCTTGCATAACTTGCCTCACTCTGATGAAATGAACTTTGTTAAGTATGCCGATGATCTAAATATTTCAACGTCACTTAACTCCCAGCTTGACTGTGCTAAGATGAACAGCCTTCTATTAGGAATTAGCAAATGGTCTTCGTTTAACGGCCTTAAACTAAATCCTTCCAAGTGTCAAACTGTTAATTTCAGTTTTGCGGTGTAAAAGAAAGTCAAATGAAGTTGTGAATTCCTATGACCATTTTAAAATTGATGATAGCGATCTAGAAATCAAGTCAGACGTTATATATCTTTGACTAATTCTTTCTTCTGATCTATCCTGGTCTTTCTGCGTCTTAGCCATTTTTAGTGAAATATTCCATCTGACTTTCTACATTAAGAAGTCAAGGCACTCATGCATAACTAAACCCCTCCTCATCTTATAGTGTGTCAACATTTGCATTTTACTTATCCTTCTTTACTGTTCACCCACCCTAATTCTTTCCTGGATTGCTTAAAAAAGACTATGTCATACTTCGAAGAACTCTGAAGACTGTCAGTAGGACTAGTGGTGGTGTCCCATTGGGTCATATCGTTGACATTGTCACTGATAGGCACTTGATGTCGTGAAACAAATTTGCTAAAGGAATTTTGTCAGACTCTGAGCACTTACTCTACCCGCAGCTCCAACCTTGTGTCTCTTCAGGTAAAACAAGAAGTCTTTTTGGAAGAATTTATGCACATAGGTCTAAGTATAAAAATTCCACTATACTGTATTTAGCATGTACTTTATGTGATGAAAATGTTGTCAGGCATGAACTACTAAATAAACCACTTCTTCCACCCTCACAGTAACAAACTTTATTGTTATTGTACTTCTTATATTTATAATCCTCTCAATTTTTTGTTTTAATTTATTTTTTCCATCAGTGTGAACATAATTTAAGCTGTGTTAAAACTGTTAAATTTGTATTTCCCCTCACCATGCTGCTATAGCAACAGAACATTAGATTCAATACTCTATAATAAATAAAATGCTAAAATTTCCAAACTGAATCGACAATACTGTTTGAAAAAAACCCCACTGTTATTATTATTAATATTATAATACTAATATGTTTAATAATCTCAATTCGTGCTTCGAATATTTTTGACTTTATATCGTAAACGTGGACAAATTCCTCTGGGTACTTTTGTTTTAATTTTTAATTTTATTTATATTTTAAGTAAATCAGATGTAAGGTGTTGTGACAGATGCTGAGAATTGCATTCTGTATTATAAGTTCTGTTTTTGGAATAAAGTAGATTATTATTATTATTATTCTTGATTTATTCTAATTCGTATAAAGGGGAGTAAGTGTGTATGAGAAAAGAGACAGAAGAGATTCAAAGGAGCTTTGATAAGCAGAAATGTACAGGGAAAAGAAGACACAGTAACATGAAGAAACATGGGCGGGGGAAGGGTTAATATATATATATATATATCGAAGGGAAACAACACAGTGAATGCGCGTCTCTGTGCCATCGAGAATGATGTTGAGTCATATCTCACTCTCTTTGCAGACAGTAGCTAACTATTAGTTCAGAAGCGTCTTGAGGATCTCTCTACTCTGTCAGATAGTTCAGATCTCCTTATATGGCTCAAGTCAACAAATAAAGATTTCGTAGATCGGTGGGCACGTTTTAATCTGCACTTAAACCTAATATTGCGTTAGCTAGCATTATACGCTTAGCACGTGTCACTGTCATTCCATAGATTAAATATCCACCCTAACCTAAAACTTTGCCTTAACTCTTTTTTAACTAACGAAATTATCCCAGGTATTTTGAGAGATAGAAGGTAGATGGAGGAGGAGGAATTGCAGGTCATGTGTTTAAGGTTATTAGGTTTACAAAAGTTGAGTTTACACTCAGAGTAACCTACAAGTAGCAACGAAAACCCATGAAAAAGGAGAAAGTGGATTTCCAGTGGAAACATCTTTCTGTCGCGGAATATCTCTCTAGTTGTCAGCACGACAATTTACTCAAGTTCAGAAAATAATTGAAGGCATATAAGTCTGACCTCTATGACGAAACAGTAGTCGTTGGAGTCGAAGTATGCTTCATGTGACAATACTTGTGAATAGGAAACATCAATATATGTGCATCGGTGGCACAGTGGTTAGGACTCTCGCCAACCATGCACATGGTCCGAGGTTCGATACCCTGCCGACGCACACCTGATATCTATATGGTTGGCCTGCAAAATTTGGACTACCGATATCCATGCTGAAAATTCCATACATGTACCGAAAATGCAGTATGGAATCAAGCTGTAAATCAAAAATATAAAAAAATATAAATATAAAAAATATATACACACTAGAAAGACAGCATTTACTGATCCCTATTTTAAATTTAACTGCAGATTAATATCAAATTAGAGAAACATTGAAAACCATATAGTACTGGACAGCATTTTCGTTCTAGTTTAAGTCTCATCAAAAGTACCCTCCCATTGGGGTTCGAACCCAGGACCCTACAGTCACAAGGGAGGCCTGCAGACTATTCGGCCTGTAGGACTCAATGGACAGTTCATTAATTCGAACTAATTCATGATTTTAGCGCTACTGGTACCAGTCAATGTCATTCATCGCGAGTATTCGTCCTCACTCCTACCCGATCAGATGGATCCTACTAGTCACAACTTCAACTCGTGTAGAAACTTCAACTTTCTTGCACACTTTGTTGGATTCTTACAACCGTCTAATTTTCCCCCAAAATCCACTTTGTCTAAAGAGAGTTACTAATAATTTCACGATTATTCTAACCGAACGTCCTATTGGCTGAGTTTCTACGGAGAACTTAGCACAGAAGTGTATCAAGTTGCTACATTCCATGTAGCACATAAAGGCAGACGAAAGAGATTTAAACGAAGTGTACGAAAGGAAGAAATGTAATATGGATATGAGAGAATACAAAGAAAGAGTGCAAAACATTTGTGTTATTGAGAATGATTTTGAGTCATAAGTAAACAGTCTCCAGCCATTTGGTTTTAAGAATCCCAAAGATGTGAAACTATGCCAATAAATCTACGCCTTCCTACATGGCTTGCTCAGTTCAACTATCAAAGACATCTTGAACTGATGCCAATGTTTGGTTTAACCTTCCAACCTAACCCTATGCTCACTAGCATTGCTCATTGTCGAAAAAGGCGATGCCTTGTCATGCATAATACATATATCTTAGCTATATCAATCGATGTAGCATCACAGTCTTATCGACTGACTTCTCTTCCTGGCTTAAAACTTTATGCCTGATCTCAATATTACTCACCATATTGTACCAATTGATGACTGTGGGCAAACATAGCTAACCTTTTCATATCTGTCAATTTCGACAGCTACTTCTCATAGCCATTAATTAAAGTAGGACACAGAGAACTGTCGCGCAGTATGCGCGTCATTTTATCGATAACCAGACATTACGTCTACGCTAAAAGTGAGGTAAGTTGTCAAATACCGCTAGAGCCCTTCGTATTCGTGCTAAGATTTCGACAGCATTCAGTAACATTAGGGTTCATGCAACTTGCCAAATAAATAAAGTGGTCAATATACTCAACCACCTCACTTTCTATCTTTAAGCTTTGACTTGGTGCAATGTAATCCTTACATTTGACAGAACAGAAACACATATCAAACATTCGAATAATCTTGTACAAGAAAAGACCTGAATCATAAAATAAAACAGATAGAAGAACAGTTGGTTGGTGTTAAATAACTATCCTATAAAATTCATTAGGGAGATCAATAAAGGCCAAAAGCAAAATAAAGATAATGGTGAAACTAATAATGACAACATAAATAAGAAAGAATATAAGGCGTCTACAGCAGTTTTACCATATAAGGAGGGGAAATCTGAGACCATACGCAGGATTCTAAGTAAAGCAGGAATTAGGGTGGCATTTAAACCTACAAACTCACTCAGGGACAAGCTCTGTAGGTTAAAGGACCCAGTTAGACAAAATAATATAATCTACAAAATACCTTGTAATGACGGTGAGTTAGGTCAACTACATAGGTCAAACTAGTAGGTCGGTGGTAGACAGATTGTCGGAACATAAGAATTTAGCTAAGGTTAGAATAGTTAACCCCGTGAAGATAAGTAATTTAGAAGAAATACCAGCAATCTTATTGCATGCATTAACACACAACCACCCATTAGGGTAGGAAAGGAGTTAAAAAACTAAGAAGTAATCTAGATAGATAGAGAGCGAGAGAGGTTGATCACTGAATCTTTGGTCATAGAATCTACACCGAAAACGTGCAATAGGAATGACTCATCACTCATACCCGAAATATGGAAAATACTACTACCAATCAAGTGAAGCGATGAGAAATAATGGAATAAAATATAAGCGAAGTTAGAAAGTTGTGTGAGTGGTTACCTGGATATGAATATGAGCAGGCATAAATTCTGCACGAACCGTGGTCATCAGTAAATATTACTGTATAACACTGTGAGACTTTATAAAAATAGATTTTACCCATCATGGAATTATAATCTATCACAGTGCATAAGTTTTACTCTTATATCAAAATCTATTTTCAATCCAGAAGTACACACACCCACAAACACAAAAGTAAACGTGAAGAACTTACTCAGCGGAAAGTAAATTGAACCTCGAAGATGATTTGAACTTGAATCATCAAGAAAACGATTGGAGAAACGTGACAGACAATCTTGTAAAGATAATTCAATTATTTGTTGTGTTGATCGTGTAGTTTTACTATCAGTAACAGGATGTCTCGGAGTATTATACGGTGTATATGGTGGTGGTGAACGTTTCGTCGGACTATACAATACACTTGTTGATGATGATTGTTGAGTAAGTATTCTAAGCAGTAGATCACGCCAGATAGCCTTAATCAGGGCATAATCCTATACAAAATGTGAAGAAAAAGAAACAAGATGAAACAAATAATAAACAGCGAGGTCAATCCGGATGTCATTTGTAGGGGATGGATGTCCCACTGACGACATTGGTTGGTGCCTGTCGCGCTAAATCGCGAATTGTTAGAAGTTAGAATTCATGAACTGGTTGCTACCAGTCCACAAGCTAGCTTGCCTTGTAACCGGAAGGTCCTGGGTTCGAACGGTGGCGGCAGGTGCATACTACCGATGATTACCAAACTAGGACGTAGGAAACAACTGTCCAGTACTCCAGTGCTGGTTTTCAATGGTCCTCTAACTGATATTAATCTGTGATCAAACTCGTAAGAGAGATATGTGAAAAGATTCTTTCTTATTTATCAAGTATTGAAGAAATGGATAGAGATAATTCGGTTGTTACTTGTGGCCAGCCGTTTCGTCCTCGTTTGACACACTTCATCAGTACGCACCCACCGGGTTTCGAACCCAGGACCCACTGGTTACAAAGCGAGCTTGTATACGCTTAAGCCACTACGACCCGATCCAACGGCCCCGGGTTTGGACCCTGGTGGGTGCGTACTGATGAAGAGTCCAAAACTAAGATGAAACAGTTGTCAAGTACTCCCAGGTTTTCCAATGGTTCTTTAACCAGTATCAGCTCATGATGAAATCCTGTAACCAATCAAATCCCTACAAAAACCAACACTTAAATATTAAAGAGATTGATTATTGAATTTTATGTTTTGCACAGAATTTCCACACATCAAAACTGATACCGCGGTAATGCATAGAAGACTTTATTAACACATATTAAAAAATCGAAAAGTGTGAATTATGTAAGCAACCTGATGTAGTTGATATACAAGCAAACGATCCACACTGAAAACGTACGTTATAGGTGAATATATAAGTAACACTGTATCAATTCGCGCGTGTGTATGCGCTACGTGACATAAAATTACTCTGTTATGTAACAACGGTTAGATGTGCAGTGGAATAAAAGTTATCCTACAGTTATGGTGAGTTTCTAACTAATCAGCAGTGTGTACTGTTGAAGAGTCTTACAGTGAGGACGAAATAATTGTCCAGTACTCTCTACTGTTTTTTTTAATAGTCCTCCAATTGATATGAATCCGTGATCAGATTTGAACACTGTCAAGAGATCCAAAACTGCTGTTAGAATAGATAAGTGAGCATAGGAAGCTCAAGCATATATGTCTCCTAAATTCGACAATTTCGAAGTGTAATTGCTTCGATTACCACTGGATACAACATGGATACACGTCTACTGACCAGATTTCAACTATTTTGTTGCATGCTAAAATAACAACAGTAGGGTGTGGATCGGTGGCACAGCAGTAAGGACGCCCGCCGACCATTAACATGGTCCGGGATTCGATCCCCGGCCACCGACGCACTTCTTTACCTGCTGGTAAGGAGGAAAGGTTGGGCATGAGGCCAGCAACCTTATCCTGTAAAATTAAACGCTGCTACAAAAGCTTCAAGCCACTAGCTTGAGACCCTATGTTCCACCTGGAACGTGAAGGAAAAGAAAAAAAGGGTGTGCTTAAAGCATAGAGAGTGGAGTAACATTCACATCTCGTCACTTATCAGATATAAAAGTACATTAATGTTTACAGAATGGTGTTGATTACACCTGCATTAAGAAAATCCCGTTCACCCGACCATGTGTGACCCCCCTATGATTTTCATATCATGTCTCACAACTAGGTAGATAGGTAGGTCTATATAATTGGACCAGGTGCCTTATTTGTAAGCCAAAAGATTTAAATAATAAAGTCAGACATATAAGCAAAACAGAATTCATTTCAAAAATCTATGAGGATTCATGAGATAAACAAGAGTAGTAATGGAAATGTTTGAATCTGGAATTCAAAGCCTTTGTAGCACTGCCATATATAGACAGAACACATTAGAGGCCTTACGTAGGAGTGGAATCAGGGTGCATTAGAACCAAACAACTCTCTCAGAGATAAACTTTGTCGGCTGAAAAACCAAATAGATCCAATTAAGGAAAATAATATAATTTAAGTAAAACATTATGTAATGCCTGTGAGGTCAACTACATAGGTCAAGCTGGTAGATCAGGGGCAACTAAATTATTTCCTAGCCATCTCAATCGATGCAGTTTTACAACCGCATTGCTTGACTTCACTTCTTTACCTAACACTCTATGTGTAGGCTGAATATTGTTCACTATATTAGAACACTTATTACCACCATCACTACCGTTGAACCACTAGTGTGCAATATTAGGGTTAGGCGTCGAGTGCTAGGTAAACAGGGGAAATCAATCGACGAGGCTGTGAAGTTACATCGACTGAGATGGTTAGGACATGTGTTACGTATGCCTGCCTAGTCATCGCCTTCCTCGACAATGGGCAATGTTAGCTGATATAAGGTCAGGCTGGAAAGGGGCTTGCTAGCGGCGGTCAAACCAAAACATGGCCTCACCAGTCACTGAAATCTACAACAGTTAGTCTAACCCACGTAGGAAGGTGTAGACTTCCTGACTGGTTGGGGTAAAAATCAGGACGGGGCGGTAAAAATCAATAGTTGGAAACAATTGGTGACATGGCTAAAAATCGTTTTCAATGACTGGCGCAGATCCATCCACTCCTTGTGACTTATGATTTCTCTTGCTTTGTGTGCTACATGGAGTGTGGCGACTTGAACTGCTGCACGTCGGTGCAAAGTCGAAAAACAGTGTCGAAAACAGGCAGACAGACAGACAGATATAAACACTGGAAGAAGTTTCTAGCATAAATGGATAATTTGATTACGAGTCTTTCGCTGTCCTTCTAGACGACAACGGCACAGTGAAGTTAACGCTAAAAAGGTCGTTCAGAAAGACGATGAAAGCTTTACATTAACAAAGTATAATATTTAAGAAGTGTAATTAATGAGTTTGAAGTTTGATTACGGACTAATATTAGTTAGAAAACCATTGAAACCAACAGGGAGTACTGAACAATTGTCTGGTCCTGGTGCCAAGGTCTCTTCAGCACTACGCACTACTCATGCCCCTAATCACCAGGAATAGCACCAAGACCTTCGGGTTATGAGGCGAACTCTTTAAGCATTCAAACAAGGGATGCAATGCAGAGATCCATGAATTTCAAAGTGAGTCAATTTGTGTTTCAATCCTCAGGAAGTCATGGGTGTATACAGACAAAGAGTCCTGAGTCAGGACAAAACGCCTATCCAGTACACGTTGCTGGCCTTCACAATGATTCCGCCTAACTGATATCCACCCATGATCCATCATCTTGTAGCCAATCAAATTACCCACAAATCAGTAATGGAAAATCAATGAAAGAGATATTACCTGTGAACCACTGGCCCATAATAAGCACAACTTTGATTCATGCAACCCGAATCGATCAGCATAATCAGCAAACATTTCAGTGACGCTTAACAATGCACCATGCGTTAATTGAAGTATAGCTTCGTCAATTTCATCCTCCATGGTTGAACCTAGTGGTATATGACTACGATGCGGTGATAATGATGATGGGGATATAGATCCAATTGGTGAACCGATAGATCGTGTCCTTCCTTGATGATAAATTAATTGTTTTTTGTATTGTTTCAATTCATTGAGCAGTAATTGTTGTAATTGAGCTAATTCTAAACGTGTTTCAAGATCTTTTAAATAATCCAGATCTTGTTGAGAAGCTGGGTAATTTAGAGTGGAGGAGAAAGAAGGAAAGAGAAGAACATTGATGAAATAGTGTCAATGAGAGACGCGGGGGTCGGGGGTGAGAGGATAAATTTAGAAAAAGGGTTTTCCTTCTCAACAACTACAACAACAAATGAAATACATTGCGTTCACAAGTGTGTACTATTAAGTTTTTGGAAAAGTATAAGGGAATTAATTATGCTCGCTTAAATTTGTGGATTAATGTTGTAAAAGGCTTTGAGGGGAATACAATAATAATAATTATTATAATAATAATAATAGCAGCTTTATTCCGAACAGTATTTGTGGTACAGGTATGGAATTTTCAGCGTGCATTACAATATATTGCATCTAAATACCTCATAAATTTTATAGGATTTTAAAATCAAAAAGCAACACCCAAACAAAAAGATAAATAGAAAAAAATAAAAAGAACAGCGTTGCGTTTATATTTTAAACAAGGCACCACAGGATATGAAATATAAAATTAGTGTGTAATAGAAGATGTGAACAACAATATAATAGTAACGAAGAAAGGAAAACAAAAACTAATGGGACTATTTGTTAGAGTGCAGCAGTAAGTTGATAATGTCATGCCTAACGGATTTCTCATCACATAACAGTTGTGCCAGATATCGTATTGTGGAGTTTTTGTATTTGGTAGTCCTACAAATTAGCCTCCTATAGCTGCTTCTAGTTCTACCAGATGAAATGCAAGGAGACAGCTGCGTATAGAGAGGATGCTCGGGGTCTGACAATATTGTATTCGCTAGTTTCTTACATGACATTGTATGTCTATCCACAATAGTGTTAACCAGTTGGTTTAACGATATCCTACTTGTCCTAACAACGACTTTTAGTGCCCTTCTCAGCAAAGCAAAGTCTTTCTTAAGCAGTTCAGGAAAGATTAATGCGTAGAATACAAGAATTGACAAACTGAGAAAGTAAAGACTGCTTTATACCAGACTGCCTTAGCTTCCTTACGTAGAACGCTAAGCGAAACATCTTTCTAGTAACTAGCAAGATGTCGGAGGACCAGGAAAGATCGGAGGTACTTGACAATAGATGTAATTCCAACCTCTATGCCTGAATGCCTGCCCGACTCCACCAAGGGTGATATTCCTAACTGTGGTGGACCGGAACCATGGAAAACATTGTACAGGAATACACTGCACTGACCGATAAAAGAAGACTCTAGAAGACCTGGACCTAACCGAGGACTTATACCGGTTGATGTCGCACAAACTCGAAGACTTAGAGATTAGAAACCGACAAACCTGCAGAAGAAGCAGGAGCGATGAAAGGACTACAAATAAACATAGAGAAGACGAAGGTGATGAAGACAACCAACCAACCAACAGCGACAGCAACAACAACAACAACAACCAGCACCAATCACCATTAAAAAGAGAGATTTGACAGAGGTTTCTACCTTCATTTATCCAGCCGGAAAGCATCGTTTAAACTACAGGCACATGGCACGGATGAAGATGTCAAAACCAGCTAGCCAGTCAGAATCGGAAAGGCAAGATACGCACGCCTTCATCAACCTGAAACCAGTTTGGAAATCTTCTGCACTCGGCTTTTAGAATAAAGAACAAAATTTGGATTTTCAACACAAATGTTAAGTCAGTCGGTTCTTCTATTTGGGTTCGAAACATGGAGCATCATGAGAAGCATTTCCAACATGCCAACATGCAGACTCTAATCAACAGTTGCCTTTGCTCTATATTGAAGATCATATGGCCGGTCAAAATATGATTAACAACAGGAAACTCTGAGAAAGACGCAACCAAGAGCCAATCGCTCAACAAATATGTGGAAAGAAACGGGGATGGGTTGAATACACAATGACCAGAAGTTTAAATAGCATAACTAGCCAGAACAACTTCGCCTAGTTTTCTAGACGGTCTTAAGCCCGGGAAAAGAGTGTAGGCTGGGCATATGTGTAGAGACCCTACGCCGAAAAATCAATGCAATCGCTATAGAAACGTTAAAACACAAGAACAATACAAAAAACAAGTTTATTCTTCTCTGGAATCGCAGAGATGAAATCATGCGGATTGGTGAAAGCCTCTAGGATGCCAGTTAGCTAATATGTCTCACTTTCGATGAAAGAAAAAATTAAGAATGAGGGATGTGGAATTTTCGTACGATTTGTAAAGCTATCCAAGTTGTTAATTGGAGAGTCAATAATCTTCTCCGGTCACCCAAACAACAACCACGAGCACACAGAAGGACTAGCTTCCATAATGTCACCAACAGTAAACAAAGCTCTTATGCAGTGAGAACCAATCTCCTCCTGCAGGATTATGACAACAAGATTCTACTCAAAAGAGGGTAAGGTTACAATTATCCATTGCTACGCGCTTAAACTAGCTAGGCCCCGAGTTGGACCTGAGTGCGAAACGATGAGTTGAATATCAGTCCTCCAGTGACATAGGGGAGATCATGTGAGGAAGAAATGGAAAGTTTCAGGTAGTCATGCACCTGGTCTTCTGGCATTTAGACTGAAAGCGGTTACCACTATTTACTAAATCCCTTAGTCTAAAGTGAGGTATTCGCAAAAGAGACTAGCATATGGTGAACAGAAGTGTTAAGGTAACAGGTTGATCCTCCAGTCGGGTGATTAGCAAGCCAGACATGCTACTTTTTGGTTTGGAAGAGGTGAGCTTGGAAAACTGTGTGCGTCCTTATCCATCTTGAGCAGGTCCCGTAGTTGGCATTAGAGTCTTTTGTATGGACAAAACTCTGCCTCTGTAAGTGACCCATGCGGTCAGCTCTAAGCAGTTCTCCTTTAAGCGTTCTATAGCCACGCAAAACTAATGCTTCCAGGAACTCTACAAACTCCCGTTTTCCACAGAAGCTACTGTAAGATTACACTGTTTTTGTTCACACAGTACAGAGTCATAATTTTAAAGAGCAACACACCAGTTGAAAATGAGTTAGCAAAACAAATAAAAATAAGAAAAGGTCTGATATATACCTGGAAGAGCTTTAACAGCGACAATAGCTCTGGCGGCAAAATCCAATCTATCATCCAACGTCAACTGACGACATGGTGTGACAGCTAAATGTTCTAAAACCTGAGCAGCTTCCAAACGAGCACCACGTCGTTCCAACTGACGCCAAAGTAGACAACGTAGGCCAGGATCATCTGGAGTTTGGCGTAGACGTGAACGTAGATAAGGTTCAAGATTCGGTGAATTCAAGGATATTACTGTATCTGTGAGACCATGCGTCAATAACCAATTGAACACCTAAAATGAAGACAAAAAAAAACAATAAAGTAGGCAACTTAAGTTATTGATTAACAAGAAAAACGCAATAACCAAACAAACAGTATAATTTAGACAGCTAACTGCTTACACATTATTGATTATTATTATTGTTCCCTTGGGTTCCTAGTGGAATATACGGTTTCAATTGCATGTCTCCACTTGCCACGTCTGTCTTCTGCTGTACTTTTCACCTGCATCCATGTTAGTCCATACTCTTTCAACTCCTCTTCAGACGATCTCCTTCGTGTCACCCTTGGACGTCCCACTCGACGCTTCCCTTTTGGGTTCCACTCGAGCCATGGCCCGACGCTCGCGCGATGTCACCCAGAGGCCTCCTCAGCGAAAGTCCAGTCCATCTCCACCTTCTCCTGCATATTTGTTGGCTGGCGATTGGTTCTTGTTTTGTTTCTTTCCATAGTTTCTTGATGGTGATTCTTTCCGGCCCGGTCATCTGATCTTCAGTATAGATCCAGTGAAGACAGTTGTTGATAAAGGTCTGAGTTAGCCTGTTGAAAATATTCTTTGTGACCCTCCAAGTTTCTGATCCGTATAGAAGAGCTGACTGACTGACTTGACGTTTGTATTGTTGTTGATGCTGGCTGAGTGATGAAGATTTCCAGATTGGTTTCAGGTTGATGAATGTGTTTCTCGCCTTCCCGATTCTTGCTCGATTTGACATCCTCGTCCGTTCCGACTGCGTGTAGTTGAGACAATGCTCCCTAGATAAGTGAATGAAGTAACCTCTTTCAAATCCCTCCCGTTGATGGTGATTGACGCTGGATGTTGCTGTTGTTGTTGTTGGCTGGTTATTTCCATAACCTCCATCTTGTCTATGTTTACTTGGAGTCCTGTCTTCGCCAGCTGCTTCTTCGACCAGTTTGTCGGTCAGTTTTCGCTTGTAAGTCTTCGATTTTGTGTGAGATCAAACATAAATCATCCAAGCGCGAAATACAGATCTTCTAGGTTCTTCACATCGGTCCAGGACATCCCTGTCTGCTGCTCGTTTCCCACTCACTGTCTGACGCATAATCCAGTCAGTCCACCACAATTAGGAATATCATTGGTGATAAAAAGCAAGCACCCTTGTCTGACTGCTGTGTTTACTCCAAACGCCTAGCTGAGTTTTCCGTTGTGGATCACTTGACATGTGTCGTTGTCGTACAGCTGTTAAATAAGGTAAATGAATATTTGGGGTACGCTGTAGTACTCAAGTAGTTTCCGAATTGCTTCGCGGTCAACGCTGTCTGTCGAAGGCCTTCTCAAAGTCTATAAAGTTGAGGTAGAGATTTGATTGTCATTCTATGCTATGTTCTGTGATGATGATGCGTAGAGTTGTAATTTGGTCAGTACATGATTCGCCTTTCCTGGATCCACCTTGTTCTGTCTGTCTGTTTTCGACATAGAACTATACACAAATGTGCGGAAGTTCAAGTCGCCATACTCTGTGTAGCACGCGAAGCAAGAGAAGAAAGTACAAGAAAAGCATAATCGAAACAGTGAGCAGAGGTGTGAGACAAAGGAGTAATAAAGAAAAACAAAACAGTTTCATTGGAGATCATAAGTCACAGGGAGTGGATGCATCTGCGCTAGCCACTGAGAACGATTTTGAGCCATGTCACCAATTGTTTCCAACCATAGATTTTTACCGTCCCGAGGACCCCAACCAGGAAGTCTACACCTTTCTACGTGGCTTAGACCAACTGTTGTGGATTTCATTGACTGATGCCAAGTTTTTGTTTGACCGCCGCTAGCTTTTTTCCAGCCTGACCCTATATCCGCTAACATAGCTCGTTGAGGGAGGCGATGACTTGGCATACGTAACACACGTCCTAACCATCTCGGTCTTTGTAACTTCACGACTTCGTCGATTGATTTCCCCTGTTTACCTAGAACTCGACGCCTAACCTCCATGTTGCTCACCTTATTATGCCACTTTACACGGGAAATAGAACGCAGGCACCTATGATCAAAGGCAGCTAGTCTTTTCATGTCTTCCACTCTCAGTGGCCAGGTCTCACAACCATAAAGGAGGACGGAGCGGACTGATGAGCAGTACACCCGCCCTTTGGTCGATAGTCGAACATCTCGTCTACGCCAGAGTCGGCGTAAACTGGCAAATGCGAAACGAGCCCCCTGTATCCGTGCTGAGATTTCGTCAGAGATCAACCCCTTGGCACTGGCTGATGGTACTTCCCAAATAAGTGAAGTGGTCAACGCGCTCTACCACTTCACTTCCTATTTTCAAACTAGGCGCCGATGTAGTCCAGTCCTGTAACATCATCTTGCATTTAGCGGGAGCGAATCGCATGCCAAACATTCGTAGATTGCAGCTCAAGGTGTTTAGAAGACTCTGCATTTCGTCAGCGTCTTCGCCTAGAAGGACTATATCGTCTGCATATTCTAAGTCAACGAGATTATTCCCTCCCTGGTAGCAAGTCAATCCCTGAGTCGCTGAAGTCACTTAGGGTTAAGTCCATTAACACATCTATGATGAAGTTGAATAGAAAAGGAGATAATGGGCATCCTTGACGGACACCACTGGTCGTCATCAGTTCAGATGACAGCTCGCCGTAAGCCCTCACCTGGCTGTATGAGTACGAGTAGAGTGCCTTAATCAGTGCAATATATTTTCTCGGAATTCCCTTTACAGCCAAGCATCTCCAGAGAACTTCTCGGTCGACAGAGTCGAATGCTGCCTTTAGGTCAAGAAATATAATGACTGTTGGACGCCGGTAGGAATGTCTATGTTCTAGAATCTGTCGGAGGGTGAAGATATGATCAATACACACTCTTCCTGGTCTAAAGCCTGCATGGCTTTCTCGTGTTTGTACCTCCCGAGCACCACTTAGTGTACGCATGATTATTGAGCCTAAGACTTTAGTTACTATATTAGTCAAGCTAATCCCTCTGTGATTATCACAGGGAGACTTGTCTCCCTTCTTGTATATGGGGATAATCAGTGACTTACACCAACCCGATGGGACTTCTTCTGATTCCCAGACGCTGCCCAGTACCTCAGTTAATCCGGACAGTAAGCTGTCTCCACCGTACTTAAAAACCTCTGGAGTCATTCCATCAGGTCCCGCTGCTTTGCCTAGTTTGCCTTGTTCAGGTCGGAGTTCTGTCTCCAGTGCGTCTTTTAATCTCTCCAGGATGATGGGACTGAGGATTTTACTTCGCGTTGACAGGAGCTCACACATTAGATACACCAATATATTAAGTTAGAATAAGGTTAAAGGTAAATTGTTATGTGCACAAGGTAAGTCACCGACTGTTATGTGCATTGTGAAGTCGTATCGATTGACGTGTCCACAACTGTCCTTCTCCACTGACAATGTTGGATGAATGAAAAAATTGCCTGGGAAAGAGTTAGAAAGTAGTCATTGACTATTAGTTCTAGTCCCAAACAGGGAGATATAGATATCGTCATCTGACTACCATTTTGTATTACTAGCGCTAGGAAACTCTGGAAACCAATCAACCAAGAATCTATTGCTTAATTAGTATGTAGGACAAAATGGAGACGGATTGGGCACACAATCAGGAGACCGTTCCATAACATCGCACGCCAAGTCATCGCTTGAGTGGGACCCATATGTGAAATGAAGAGTTAGTTTTAGCTGCGACATAGGGCATAGAGGAGATCGTGTAGGAAGGTAGAAATAAGGGATTACGAGGTATTGTGGGGCCAGTTAAAGCCCTATTTTCCACTCAGTACCCAAATAATATAATATGACGCTGTGGGCCGCATTGTTTGCATGTATAAGAGGGTTGGCAAATAAAACTATCCAGTTGACCAGGTTGCAGTAGGCAGAATAGAATTGGAAAAACATCCCAAGATTCATGAGCTGAAATTCAAGTACCTAGATCGATGAGGCATACACCATCACTTTAGCATTAATATACATGTTGGAGACATACACACATACAAACAGACACACTTTCTCTTTGTACACTGACTGAGTCAGTGTTTCTTGCCCCGCCGTGACACAGAACTTAAGTTTAGCTACAGTTATCACCGATTTCATCCATCAACCCAAAAATAATAATAATAAATCACAGAAATTACTTCAAAATGCGCCAATATATCATTCGATCCACTGATATCTATCAAAACTGTCTGTAAAATTGATCGAGCATATTGAGGTGATGAATCCAGTTCATCTGCTAGAGTAATTGTATCCCCGCCAGTGGTAGTACCATTAGTTGTAGTAGTAGCAATAGTGTCATAACCGATTTTAGTCTTCATCCCACCAACTTTGTTTAAATCACTGCCATTGATGGTGGTATTGCTCATATTCAGCATTGAATCAGCAGTAGCAGGGGTAGTGCTACCGTTGTTTGGCTGTTCTAAGATGAATGTTGCATCAGATTTGATTTGTGCTGCGTGTAATAAGTGATCCAAACAGATAGTTAAACGTCGATAGGCATCATATCTAGGAAGGAATTTGAGAAACAAAAGAAAGAAACAAGAAAACATTTAATTGAATTTTAGATTTTCCCATCGATTGATTGCACCTAATCGGTGTCAGGTTGACAAATTGGCTTCTTTGTGCAGATGCTTCGACAATGTCTGGGCGTGTAATTAGAAGATAATTTGTGGATGGTGATTGGCAGTGGAATCCAGGATAACACACATTTCATCCTATTTGAGATTCGTCATCCCGATGTATCTGCCTCGGTGGGCACATTATCATCACTCACTGGGGGGGGGGTGCAGGTACATCCAGATGACGAGTCTCAAATTGGATGAAATGTGTGTTCTCCTAGATTCCACTGCCAGTCACCCCATCCACCAATTAAACAGTTAAACATTGAAAGAAAGACACAAAAAATACACAGTTTAACTGTAAAGCAGATAGGTATTAGTCTGTGTGCTTTGAAGTTTCTGTGGCTATTCTATTGATTTTCTGGGGTTATAGTCACTAACTCCATGCTTAACCACCCCCGCCTCTTTCTTCGGGCTGGTAAATTCGCCGAGCTGTCAACTACACGCGGCACCGATGAAGATGTCAAGGACAGATTTTTATTATTCTGAAATCATTATGGAAATCTACTCCACTCACAATGAGGAACAAGATTAGATTTGTCAACACTAATGTCAAGTTAATGTTTTTATATGATTCAAAGAGTTGGCGCGCAGTTGACCACCACCATAAACACTTCAACATGCTACTGTAAACTTTTATCAATAAACGCCCTCGCGCCATAATTGTAAGAAAGGATCAACGACAAGGGACTCTGGTAAAGACCAAACAAGCAAATGATTGGACAACATTTTTTTCCTATGTACAGGTCATTCCTTGGTTTTTTTGAAGATATTGGACGCTGAATCTATTATTGTTATTATTATTCCCTTGTGTTCCGTGTGCAACGTAAGGCTTCAACAGCGCATTTCCATCTTAGTCGGTCACATGCAACTTTTCCCAGCTCCTCTAAGTCTCATTGATATAAGAATAAAACTTTTGCACTGTGGCGGTAGAGTATAATTCCATTATAGGTAAAAATTTGTTTTGATAAAGTCTCACAGTGCCATACAGTAATGTTTATTGATGACCACGTTTCAAGCACAATTTATCGTTGTCACTTCTGCCGACTTGTTGATTTTCACATGTATAGCTTCCAGAGATGGATCAACAATGCAGAATTCACATCTTTCAGGTTCTTTATATAGGTTCAACGCAAGCCCGTCTTCTCACTCCCCACACAATGAAGCATATAATCCATCCAGTCCATGACAAACAACAAAATCATCGTTGATACTTTTTTTTATTGGCTCTTATGAAATCTGACATTTAAACCACATTTTAATCTTGAAGTAATTTGGTGTATGGTGACTAGTAGTGGAATCCAGGATAACGCGTATTTCGTCCTATTAAGGATTCATCAGCCGGATGTACTTGCATTCACCACCAGTCTTCAGTGAGTGCATGATGGTGTTCCTCCCACTTAAGCTCGAACCCAGTATCCATCGTTTCAAACGCCTAGACGTTGCCCAATAGACCACTTGGGGGCCTTGAGAATCACCCCCTCTTGTGCAATGGGTGTCAGGTATTACTTTAAAAAAATTGATTTATGATTTTCCTGTTGATTGGTTCGATTGAAATGTCAACTAAGGCAACGCAAACTCCAACATTCAGTCACAAGAGGATTTCATCATCTGTGGTGACATTTATGTGATGGGGGGGGGTGGGGGCGATTATCTTTGAAATATTTATTAGTTATTTTGTGTTTCTTATTGTTTGATTCCAGTAGGCGGGTATGATCATTCCCAGTTGATATATTTGTCGGACTTTCACAATCATCAGTGGGAACACTATTACTTACTTGAATCCATGTGGTTTCACTGTTGGCAAGTACTAAATAGGACCAAAATGCGCATCGTTATAAAATATTTCAAAAAAAAAGAGTAATTTTCAGGAACAGTCTGTGAAGGGATTTGATTGATATCAGTTAGAGAACCATTGAAAATTGCTAAGGAGTACTGAGCAGCTAGTTGCTCGTCGGAAGTACTCACCTGCTGTGCCCGAAATGAACCAGGCTTGTAGACCATTCAGCCATTAAGATCTGACACCTGAACGGCCAGTCTGTGAATTTTAACTCTTAATAATTCGTGATTTTCGCCCGCCGATATCATTAGCTGAATGGTCTAGGAGATTGTGATGCAACTGGAAAGACCTATGTCCGAACCTCTATAGGGAGTGCGTACAGTCGATGAGCCCGGAACCATGATGGAACAGCTGTCCAGTCACTCCTGGTGGTTTTCAGTAATCAAACATTAAAAAAGGTAGAGGAGCTGAACATTAAAACACAGGACACCAATAGTTATTAACTAACCTGCCTTCTGTGGCTGCCAATTCAGATACAGCAAAAGACTTATTATGCCAAGATCGATGACCTCCAACTCCTCCTGCTCCTCCTAATCCTCTACGATCAAAATCCAATAAAGGCTCAGAAGATGGACGTCGACCTTTTTTCAAACAATCTACAGCTATATCAGATGGATCACGTGAACGTGCAACAGATAAACAGAGACGGATAGCACCACGCCAGGCATTACAACTTTCTAAACGATGTACAGCATTCTCCAGATTAATACTTGGTCCAGCTTCAATATACAACTGGATAGCTTCAGAAACCAATTGATCTATATGCGCTTTATTCTCTAAACTTGCTTCATACTGAAGATCATTCACACCGTCAGGATTATTCAATGTGGATAAGATATTTATTCGAATTATAGATGCCTATAAAAGATGTCGAGTAAGAAAGAAAGAAAGCAAGGAAACAAATAAGAAATACCAGGCTTTAGAGGAAATAAAGTGTTCACAAATATTGATTTCACTGACTGATCGACCGAATGACAGTGTGTGAGCGCTGAACAGAGCATTTTTGAAGTGATTTTTGATTCCCTTCGTCCCGAAAGAACAAAGGACACTAGGCTTTAAAGTTTCAATAACTTTTACAGGTTGAGATCACCTAGCCTCACATGCTCAACCTTCCCTCATTTTCTGGAGTTGATTTCGGTTAGGCGAAAGTTTGTCTGTCTGTTTTCGACATAGAACTTTGCACAAATGTGCGCCAGTTCAAGTCGCCACATTCCGTGTAGCACGCGAAGCAAGAGAAGAAAGTACAAGAAAAGCATAATAGAAACAGTGAGCAGAGGTGTGAGACAAAGGAGTAATAAAGAAAAACAAAACAGTTTCATTGAAGATCATAAGTCATAGGGAGTGGATGCATCTGCGCCACTGAGAACGGTTTTGAGCCATGTCACCAATTGTTTCCAACCATAGATTTTTGCCGTCCCGAGGACCCCAACCTGGAAGTCTACACCTTCCTACGTGGCTTAGACCAACTGTTGTGGATTTCATTGACTGATGCCAAGTTTTTGTTTGACCGCCGCTAGCTTTTTTCCAGCCTGACCCTATATCCGCTAACATAGCTCGTCGAGGGAGGCGATGACTTGGCATACGTAACACATGTCCTAACCATCTCAGTCGATGTAGCTTCACGACTTCGTCGATTGATTTCCCCTGTTTACCTAGAACTCTACGCCTAACCTCCATGTTGCTCACCTTATTATGCCACTTTACACGGGAAATAGAACGCAGGCACCTATGATCAAAGGTAGCTAGTCTTTTCATGTCTTCCACTCTCAGTGGCCAGGTCTCACAACCATAAAGGAGGACGGAGCGGACTGATGAGCAGTACACCCGCCCTTTGGTCGATAGTCGAACATCTCGTCTACGCCAGAGTCGGCGTAAACTGGCAAATGCGAAACGAGCCCCCTGTATCCGTGCTGAGATTTCGTCAGAGATCAACCCGTTGGCGCTGGCTGATGGTACTTCCCAAATAAGTGAAGTGGTCAACGCGCTCTACCACTTCACTTCCTATTTTCAAACTAGGCGCCGATGTAGTCCAGTCCTGTAACATCATCTTGCATTTGGCGGGAGCGAATCGCATGCCAAACATTCGTAGATTGCTGTTCAAGGTGTTTAGAAGACTCTGCATTTTGTCAGCGTCTTCGCCTAGAAGGATTATGTCGTCTGCATATTCCAAGGCGAAAGTTTAGCAGTGCCTTAGCAGGGAATTCGAACCTGGGCTTCTTACAAACAGGAACAGGCGAACATTCAACTACTGAACCACCGAGGCACAAAAATTGGCGTCAGGATTAGGAGTCGAACGCACACCCACAGTGAGGACTGTGTGATGTCATCTAAAAAGTGTGTTTATTAATTACTGTTTAAATAATACAAAAAAGAGATTGGATGTAGGTTTATTGAGGAACACAGACAGACTGACGATGAGATTGTGTTACTTGTTTTTTATGTTACAATGGTATCAGAATAAAACAGAGAAAATATTTTTATCAGATGATTGAAAGCGATCGGTAGGAAGCCTTGACCAGACCTAGGTTTTGTGCTTGTCGACTGGCACTCATCAGATAGCAAGGCGTATCAACAGTCTTGAAGGAATTCGCGTCTATTCTGAAACTGGAACCCGGCTCATCCAGTGATATCGGAGGTCAGAGACGTTACCGCTGAGATATTCGGTCTCACGACGGACCACCGCCTGTGGGACTGATAGAATTTAGTATGCAGCAAGCCAGGGACTAGGATGTATAACACTAATTAGTGTCCAAAATCACAAGATATATCACAAATTTATTCCTTATTCGAATTTCAGTACTTGAAATATCAGAATAGGTATGTTAGAGACTATAGGAAGAAATCAAAAGGATGATCGGGGCGAAGAATTTGGATCTCGGAAATCTAATCTTAACCTATAAAATAATGTCTGCCCAAACACCAACTTCACTGTAGAAGTTGAATATGACTCAATGTTTAATTTCCACAATATTCAACAGCGAAGAAATGCCAATATATCTTTATACAAAAAGCCCACATGGAAAGGACAGCTTATCAAGTAACCTCATATATTCTCTTAGCTCAATGATCCACAAAAGTCATGTACCGAGGAATGTATTGACAAAGGACTGCAAAATCTTCGAGAAATCTTGATGAAAAATGGTTCCCACCCCTCCCGGATTTATACACAAGCATCTGAAATCGAAGAAAGCTTCTGAACCGGTCAAAATCGCAGTCAAAAAGATTCTACTGATTAATCTCGAACTTAAAAGTGATACTAAAGCAGAATTTTTCCATAAACGGCATTTTAAATCTCTCAGTAGAATATAATTTGCCATTAGCCTACCCGTGACATTTTCTTGCAAGCACGTGAAAGACAAGCTGTCGCATTGGGCTACTTCAACTTGCATAGACAAGTTCACTTGCTCTTTCTTGTTGAGCTGGATAGATTTGCTGTCCCATGGCTCTTAGAAACACTCTCAAGGAGAACGCAGGTGTGCGTATACACCTCGGTAACGTAACATCTGGTGAATTTACAACATCCAGCTTCACTTGAAAAGTCCTTCAAAATCCTATACTAGATCTAAACAGACGTCTTAAAAGAAGTGGCGCATCAAGGTATCTGGGGATAAGTGAGACACTAGTGATCTGAAAGGTTCAACCTCACACTATGTATTATTCAAAAGAAAAGCGTCCAATTTTTTGATCGTGGATTCTTTCACAGTTAGTTGGGGTACTCGAGATCCTAAAAACCAATGGCTTGAGCCAGCTGATGATGTGATCGGAAATCGTTCTTAATGACTACTGGCACAGATGCATTCATTTTCTGTGATCTGCCATATCTGATAAAACCTTATTGTTCTGTTGCGCATTTCCACTCACTGTTGCTCTTTCGAATTTTTTGTTCCTTTACATTCTCCGTGGAACATAGGACTTCAAACCAGAGAGGCTTACTGCAGCAGCCTTATGCCCAACCTTCAATCTTACTACTGACTTAGCGAGGTTAAGCAGTGCGTCGGTCGGTCGGGGTTTGAACCCCGGACCATGTCAGGCGTGGTCGGCGAGCACTATACCGCTGTGCCACCGACGCACATGGGTGTACATGGAGTGTTACAACTTGAAGTGCAATACTTTTGTGCTAAGTTCTACCAGTCAGTCAGTCAGTCAGTCAGTCCAGCCATTCAACTGCATTAATGAAGATAACTCACCTGTATGAGACATTCACTAGCCTTAGCACACATAGCATCTTCATTAGCAAATAAACTAGGACAAGTAGATTGAAGACGAGATGTGATTGTCTCCACATTGATAATACTCCCGCCTTCTTCAACTTCTTCATTTGTTTCCAGTAGATAATATTCAATAAGTGCGGTGATTAAAGCACCAATTACTTCTGTGGCTGTTTGATTCGTCGAACCACTAGTACCGCCGCCACCAGCAACACCAGTAGAAATAACAGACGAAGACATGATTGGACTTTTATTCAACTGACTATCTCCATCTAATAATCCATGATGTACAGGGGTTAAAATTGATCCAGTGTATTGAATATTCATTAGACTTGATATATACGATTCTATAGTCAGCTGAAGTGCTAAATCACGATGTTCATTATTTACGCGTCTATAAGGAGGTAGAAAATAAATAAAGTTATGAAATGTACACGAGAATTATCTGGAGAATAATAAGGGTTGAATGATATTAGATAGTTGGAGGCAATCGGCAGGAAGCCTTGGACCTAAGTTTCGTGTTAGTTAGTTGGCACTCATCAGCACGGCGTATTTGCAACCATGAAGCAACTCGTGTCCCTTCTGAGATTCGAACCCACGTCACCCAGTGAGCACTGCAGTCAGAGATGTTACCACTGAGCTATTCGGGCTCGCGATTGACCTCCTGTAGGACTGCAGTGGGTATTTCGATTGGACACTAGTAACTAATGTAACGTGTCTAGCCCTTTTTTGGTACAGACTGAATTCTATCAGTCAGGTTTTGCAATGTGGCCATGAAACCTAGGTTCGAGGCCTCCTGTGGCCGATTGCCTCCAACTATCTAATATCATCAAATCAATGTGCACTGTGACAGTGAGCTACCTAGAATGATGGCCACATTGCAAAACTTGACAGATAGAATTCAGTCTGCACCAAAGAAGAGACTGGACACGTTACACTAATTACTAGTGCCTAATCAAAAAGGATTGAATAAGTCTGAGAGATCACGAGGTGTGCGTTAATGAAAATTATTATGCACCATGTCATCGGCAATCTTCAGACATCGATTTTACGCGTCTTGAAGACGTCGTCCCAACCCCCACCACCAGCCGTCAGTCGGACAAGCTATACTTTCCTACGTGGTTCTCTCGAACTGACAGACAATGACTTCGTGGGTCACTTTTGCATGTTTTTATCGGACCACCGCTGTCAATGTAGTTGGAGAATGAACGATCAATTCATGATTGTTTGCGCAAACCCAACACCATATTTTGGTAGGAGTCATCGATACTGCAGTGATCGTTCCATCGTTCGCTGTTCTTTAGAAGACGGAGAAATACAATCAGAAACTTTGTGTACAATAACCTCATGGTTGGTTCTATATTGGTGCAAGAACAAAGGACTCTTGAGTCACCAATCTGTGTGTCTGGTTTCTTGCGTTGGTTATTGCACATTGTTGCTTAAAGTCTTCTAAGGACAGTGTTAAGTCCAGTATAGTTAGACCTGGACATTTGACAACCGCAGTATCTCTTTTCCAACCGAATTCAATGTTGGCTTAAATGACTCATCAAGGTAGGCGATGACTTGACACGTGTGTCTTGGACATCCCAATAAATGCAACTTGACCGTATTATCACATCTAACACTAGACAGAGTGTCTATGAGAAAAAACGGTCAGTCTCATATCTTCCATCTCCAAAAATCATATCTCACAGGCATAAAGAAGGATGGAGCGAAGTGCTGTGCAATGCATACGGAAGCAATCCGTTGAATTAAACATCTTATTCAGAGTAGTCTTTAAAGTCAGTTGTCTTCACGCGGGAGTGATACATATCGAAACCGAAGCTCCATATATATACACCAAAACAAGTAAACAGAATATACCACAACAAGCAATGTTCAACAATAGCGTCCCAAGAGTGCGAACACACGAGTGACTTTCAGCTGACTAATCATAAAAAATGAGGAATGTTTGCTCAAGAAATGATGTATATTGACAAGAAAATGCCTGAAAACTCATTAAACAGGTTATCTCTCTCTGACATAGCTTAAAAATACATCCTGGTTATATCGAGAAGTATCAGTTGCTAAGTCGGACTAGTTTACTATGCATCTATTCACCGAGATGACTACAGATAAACTGTTTTTCGTGATTCGTTCATCTCTATCATCCTGCTTGCAGTCTTCCAAGAAAGCCCTCGGTTAGATTGTTATGGTTTCCAGTAAGAGGATCGACGACTACTTACCAGGAAATTGTGGATAATAAGCTTAATCCTGACCCTAACACTAACCCTAACCTTAATCATAAGCCTTATCCAAACCGTAATTCTAATCCTAATTCTAATTATAACCCTGATCCTAACCCTAACCCCAATACTTACCTTAACCCTAAACCTAACCCTAACGAGCTATTAACACATTATCCAAACAGTACTTAAAAACGTAATCTGGGTAAAATTTGCTCCTAACTTGGTGAGTAGCGTTGATATATCTCAGCTATGACAATGACAGATGCCGTTAGCCAACGACTAGCATGCGATCAAGGTCATTGGGGGTGTTTACACTACTGGGATGCTATTGTTGAACTTCGCCCCACAACATTGGACAAACGTATATTGAACATAACTGTTTTAATCAGCATGTGAATCGATTAACGAGTTAGATCGACTGAAGGGAATACAGAGACATGTATTTACGCATATTCATTCATAGGAAATGAGTATCCATCAACGATTAGGTATGACTCAGAGGATAGACACTCCAGTTTTCCTCTCGAAGTGCTTCCCCATGTGACCAAGCCATCAAAGTCTCTGCTATGGAAGTCCTACCGGCTGTCTTCACGCAACGGTGGGGGGAGGGCATTCATCACAAAAGTGAATGGGCGATTTCAAATGTCTGGTGCTTATAACCAGACTGTTTGACATGCAGGTATACACCTAGGAGAGCTGGAAAAGTCTGAATAAAAAATCTCTGGGTGTACATCGGCTCCAGAATCTGGAAGCATTGAATGACACATATGGGCCTGTATTGGTCACCTGAATATATGGAAAAGTAGCTCCTGACGCTGCTCCACTGTCTTGTGGTTCAGAATTCAAGTCAAAGACTCAAGAATGCTGACCCATGAAGACAATCGTCTACTTTGGTCTAGGCGTCCATCCGTCCAGACGGTATCCCCACCCTGACGGAAACTATGACATTTTGTGTGGCACATCTCTCGCTCCCTAAAATGTCCCAATTTTGTTTTAATATAAAGAGTAACACAAAAAGTAGCCCCATATGTACAAAAAGAGCTTCAAATAACATCCCAAAACGTAAATAAATAAATTACCTCATAATTTTGTGAACTACATGCTCACTTAATATTTCCCAAAATCCTAATATCTCAACAATCATTGACAGTAAGTGATGCAGTTCTTCAGCTAAACGTTGCAGTGCAACCCCGTCAACATGTTCATCAGAAGCATCCAGCATTGTTTTTGTAGACATTTCACGATGAATACTTGTACTGCTAAGAACTTGTGGTGACAATCGAAACCAACCACCACGAACATTGAGTTGACGTTGAATAAATTGTTGTAGATAAGTGATTTGACTCAAAAGCCAACTAATTTCTGAGGTTTCCAAACGTGAAATAATCTATCAGTTTTAATAGTAATAGAAATAAATACAGTAAATAAGATGACTGGTTATTGCAGGTGGAATCTCCATTAAAAGAATCGGATACTGAAAACTGTATGAGTGAAGGAGACGGAGCATGGTATAGAAGCATTCATCAAGTGAAGAAAGCAGTGGCTCAATGGTCTACGAGCTCGCCTTGTGACCGGAAGCTCCTGGGTTCCAACACCAGTGGGTGCGTACTGCTGATGATTCCCGAACTAGGATGGAATAGCTGTCCAGTATTCCCTGGTGGGTTTTTTTTGTGCGTCCGTTAGGACGCTCGCCAACCATGCACATGGTCCGGGGTTCGATCTCCGGCCACTGGACGCACTCCTTTACCTCGCTAAGCCAGAAATAATGCTGGTAAACAGGAAAGGTTGGGCATGAGGCTAGCAATCCCATCCTGTAAAATTAAACACTGCTACAGAAACTTCAAGCCACTAGCTTGAAGCCCTATGTTCCACTGGGAACGTGAAGGGAAAAAACCAACATACGGTGCATCGGTAGCACAGTGGTACAATGCTCGCTAATCACGCATATGATCCTGGGTTCAATCCCCAGCCAACGCACTTCTTTACCACGCTGAGCAAGTGATAGAACCAGAGAAAAGGGGAGGTTGAGCATGAAGCTAGCAACTTCATCTTGTAGAAATAAATACCACTATTACTGAAACTTCAAAGCTCTAGCTTGAAGCCTGTTGTGTTCCACTGGGAACGTAAAGGAATTTTAAAAAGAAAACCAACATACGAACTACAGTTCAGACTATGCGAACACGTTGCATGTTGACGCATGTATTCGACTCTCAGCTGATGATGGGCTTCGGGGTTCAAGTCCCAGTCCCACTTGATTCACAGCCAGGACAAGTGGGTACTATTGTTAATAACTCATGAATGCTGTTGAACAACGAATTGCAACTGTATGCTATTGGCGATGAGCCACTCATTGTATGAAAGCTAGGGTTACTGAAACAACAAGGGCCAGGCAACAGATCCTTTATTTAGGAAATTAACAAATATTTATATATTTTCATGTACATTATTATAGATTATTTTAAGGAAATAAACACAGTCTTCTGATTGGCGGTTTTCTCGTTGAACGTTAATCTTTCATCTGTTTGTGGCCGTCTCTTGAAGTTCAGATTATCTATCTGCAAATTGTATCCGCCTACGCAAAGTCTGCTGTGATTGGTTTTCGAGTCAGTTTTTGTTTTTATTTTTCTCATGACCAATATTGGGGACGTAAACATTGACGTAAATTACTGTCTACCAATTTCCGCTAGCACCCATCCCTCACCACAATACTACTTCAGTAGGTGGAGGGGTGGTTCAAACCTAAAACCGAATAGTTGGAAGTCTAGCGTCATAGCTCCTCCCTCATCACCTCTTACAACCGATACACTAAAATTTTGATCTAGGAAACTCAGGACTTAGCAGACAAATCAGTTCAGATTATTACCGGTCGAAGAAACATCCGTTGGCGGCATAGTGTCATACTATGGATACAAATACAACAAGTCTATCACTTCAACCTCAGAGCTTTCTAAGATCACAATCTCACATCAAATATGGCTTTCTCCTTGTTGTATGCAAACAGGATGAATAAAGCTGAAAATGAATGAAGTGTTATTCGATAACCGGTTCTGTAACAATAATAGCTTTGTAAAACACGATTTAGGCATATACGTATTTTCGGTAAATTCTTATCAGGCTGCTCTACATTTATACATAAAGAAATATCTAATTGAAGGTATTAGAATACATGTGGTTAATAAAATATCAAGGATCAGAGTTCAAGGGATATGGAGCACAAGATTGATAAAAATTCAGCTTTTACAATTCTGTACAAGGTTCTACCTCAGCTGCCTAGGTTGGTACATCTTCGGTTGCTGAGGCAGTTGTCATAAAAAACAATTTCAACGCAATCTCTGTGTTCCGTGAAAGTTTTTTTCAGTTTCTCTCCCTTACTCCCTGGATCATCATTCCCCAAGCTAGAATAGTTATCTCTTCGGGTAACACCTGATAACTGTGAATATTACCCAAAAAAATTTTTATTTTTATTTGTACTACTAACTGTATTATCAGTATCATGCTGTGGGCTGTAGTTGTACATTTTAATTTCGGTTTTACAATTTATTTGTATTTTTTATTTAATTGGTATGTTTTTCCGAGTTTGACCATGGATTGATATCAGTTAGAGAGCTCACCTTGTAACCGGAAGGTGCTGGGTTCGAACCTCAGTGCAGTGGGTGCGTACTGCACCGCCGATGATTACCAAACTAGGATGTAACGGCGAGCTGTCCAGTACCTCCCTGGTAGTTTTCAATACTTCTCTAACTGATATTAATCCGTGGGCGAACTCGTAAAAACAAATCTAATCCTTACAAACCAACTCTTGATAATTGCTATGTGGCAATAATTACTTAGGACAGCATCAATACTTGAATATCACTGAGATGCTCACTAGCGACTGGACCTATTCAGGTAGGTAGTTACCTATGGTTCTAGGGGAAGTTGTGACCATTACGGTGCAGCAGGTCTGGCGTGAGGACAAATAATGACCACGACAGATGACATTGGCTAGTGGTCGTGAATTGGCCTCCAAAGCCTCAGGATGGTCGGGGTGGGTGCCTTCCGCTGCGGGTTGGCCACCCCTCCGTACACCTCTTGAAATGCTCCCATATGACCGGGCGTCTTACATAGCCTCTCCTGAGGAAGTCCTACTCACTGCCTTCACGTGACAGAGGTGTTTGTCACCGAAGTGAGAGGGCAAAAGCGGATGCCCGATGCTCTTCACCGGGTTGACTGTCCACTAGATGACAGTCTAGGGGAGATGGCTAAATCCTGATTCCAAACCTCCAACGGCTGGCGTATGAAGCTCACCGGTAGACGTATGGACAAAGGGCTTATTGGATGCCCTGGATGTCTGGCCCCATTCAAAAAGGCGTATGAACCGGACTCCGGTCACCGGCTGTCAATGGATAGTGGACTCCCTACTCCACTCCTACTGTCTTGTAGGTCACACTTGGTTGTGTAAAGGCTAGAGCTGCACTCTCAAACAAAAGGCCGAGCGATGCTGGGGACATCACTCGTACTTAATTCCCATGAAACTTCATGAACTCTCTCCATCAAATCGCCGCCCCTGGGCAGCGATGATTCGAGATGTTCATGAAGCCGGCTCATCCTCCCGTAGGAGATAGCCGAAGTAAAGTAAAGTAAGTAAGTGAATTGGCAGAAGTTGGAATTAATGGGCTGGCCAATGGACCAGGTCCCAATAAATGGCTTAGTGGTCTATGAGCTAACTTGCCTTGTAGCCAGAAAGTCCTGGGTTCGAACCCCCTGTGGTGGATGTGTACTGCTGAAGAGTCTCAGACTAAGGAGATGAGACAGCTGGTTGTCCATTACTCCTAGCTGGTTTTTCAATAGTTCTCTAACCAATGTCAGCCCATGATGAAATCCTGTAAGCAATGAAATCGAATCCCTACAAACCGATACTTGAATACATAAGAATAATTGAATTTAAAATTATAGTCCTGTTTTCATAGGGTACTCACTCAGACTGTTTACGTCATGTTAGACTTTAAGTCTAGTAGAAAAACCATGCAAACAGACAGCTCCTTAACATTCAACAAAAATCAATAATACTGAGGAAATAAAAAATGGGGAGTGCAATACTTACAATCCGTTCAGATGATTCACTTGACTTTCCGCCGCCGCCAGCACCACCACCACCAAATGTTGAAGCAGTCGACAGGGTATTGATTAGACTTTTAACCCATGATTTTAAACCACCACCACCTCCATTGATATTATGTTTATCACGAATACTGTTGTTGGTGGTGGTGGTGTTGACATCATACTTGGCACAAATACTAGTGGCATCAAAAAACATTGAACTCCGCCAAAAACATCGTGTAATACGTGATAAAAATACACAGACACCGGTGAATAGATGAAGAGCACTATTCAGTGAACCGTCATCACCAGTGTTGCTGGCACCAGCACCACCTCCACGTGTAACAGTGGATGCTTGAAGGTAGGATAAATTAGTAGCAGCACGTGAACGAATAACAGACGGTGGCCAATATTGACTAGCTTCAGCGGCAAAGTATAATGCAGCCTGGAAAAGACGCAAAAATACACAAATAACCCAATGGTAAAGTAAAAACAAAATTATCAACAACAGGCATATGATCTCGTCGAGTGATGGTTCACAATGGGATGGCTGAGTGAAGCTTTTAAAGTAAAGCCAGGAGTAAAACAAGGCTAACTACTATGACTCTGGTGGACTGGATTATGCGTTGGTCCTGCAAGAAGACTCTAGAAGATGTGGACTTCACGGACGATTTATGTTTGATGTCACAAAAACTCAAAAATCTACAGGCAAAAACTAGCTATTCAGCAGTAGAAGTCACAAAGAAAGAACTTCCAGTGATGAACATCGACAAGACAGAGGTGACGAAGATACCCTGCGAAACAGCAATATGTGGAAATGACCTTCAATGGAAGGAATTTGAAGGAAATCAATACTTTCAATCACTTGAGCTAGGCAGCAGCATTTCTCAGCTGCGAACAGCAAAGATAAGGATACGAAAGACATAAATGGAAAGGCAAGACACCTTTATTAGTCAGAAATGAGTCTAGGAATCCTCTACATCAAGCATAAGGAACAAAGATTCGGATTTTCAACACTACTGTCATGTCAGTCAGTGCTGTTTGTATATGGTTCACATACTTGACATTACACGACAGACTTTCTCCAACAGCTGTCTTCACTGAATACTGAAGATTAGATACCAAGTTAGAAAGGATTACCACCAAGGAATTGTGTCAACGAACAAAACCAAGGACTTATCGCCCAACAGATACACACACCGGAATACTTACTTACTTTACTTCGGCTATCTCCTACGGGAGGATGAGCCGGCTTCATGAACGTCTCGAATCATCGCTGCCGAGGCGCGGCAATTTGTAAGAGAGTTCATGAAGTTTCATGGGAATTTGGTACGAGTGATGTCCCCAGCATCGCTCGGCTGGAGATGAATTGGACACACACTGTGGGGACCGTTGAATGACATCACACTATCCAGTCCTTCGAAAGTGACTCGGATGGGAAAGAATAAGTTGGAACCATCTAAAAATAACTACAGAAAACGGGATGAGAGAGATGTGTTATTGAAGCCCCACATTCCAACTGGAATCCAAGAGAATAATGATAATCACACGTGATATCATTGTAAGAGTAAATGGAAACTTCTCAATTTGATTAGTAGTACTGTTTGCTAGCCGGAATGAAGCGATCTCCACACCGGATGACCATTTTGCTTGTTGGGGGGTCGAGCTCACCACCGGTATGTAAATGGAACAACATATGACATCGTACGATAGAGTAACCGATTCTTGGGGGTAAAAGAAGCCATTTCTATAGATTTACATTGTTCAGACTAATCGCCATAGAAAATAACACAGAAAACACAGAACCTTAAGTGGTACCATCACCACCACCTGGCTACCCAAAGCTCATGACTTATTTAGTCTGAAATCGAGCACTTAGACCAATGAGCCACAGGCACAATCTAATTCATCAACCAAAAATGGATAACACTTGCATAGCAACTCACGTTGGTAAAATGGAAGGGAACCAACTCAAGATATACGCAGCCTTATAAATACTTCATCTCATTAATACAGGATATCCAATCAAGACTATAAAAGAGCTTTTGAGGTTATTTATCGCATTTTGATTTAATCGTTTTCTCAACTCTCTGCAACTGACAGAGGCGAACGGAATTCATCTGAATAAACCAAATCTCTGTGAGTTCAAAAGCCATAATTATCTACATGACATAAACGGTCTTAAAAAAGGACCCTCTCTCCCATCCTCATTCTTGTACCTACCTATTGACAATAACTATTGTTGTCACTAAGTTCCACGCTATGTGGCGTTAAGTTAATATTGGAGACTTCCGACCAGGGAACAATAACTTTTAAGCTTTTTATTTCGCTCCTTTGTGTTGTGAGTGGAACACAGAATATCAAGCTTTTTAGGCCTTCAAGTTTCAGTAGGAGTGACTATCCCTTTACGGGACGCGGGGCTGTTAGTCACACGACAAACCCTTCCTCTTGCCTGGGTTTACTATCAAAAGTTGGGCTTAGGCAAGGTTTAAGAGTGCATTGGTTGAGAGTCGAAGCTGAGCCACGTGTATGATTGGTTGGCAAGTATTCCTATCATCGAACCACCAATTTGTAATTAATAGTTCTACCGTCATTCACATAAACAACCTGTCACGGATAAGGATCAGTAGACACTAGTCTTCCTCTCGAAATGCGATCATGTGAACTCGCGTCTATAGCCTCTACTAGGTAAGTGATATTCACTGCCTTCACAGGACGGAGATGTTTCTCACAAAAATGAAGGAACGACTGCAAACTTCTGACGCTTACAACAGGACTAGTCGGTGGAGGGGGATTGACTGGAAAACCCCGATCGCAAACCTAATGTGTACATGGGATCCAGAATCCCAGTCACCTGAAACCATAGAAATACAGCCCCATTGTCTCGCGGGTCAGGCTTCAAGTCGAAGGCTTGGGGTAGGAATGACCTCTTAAGACAACCACTTGCTTCAGCCTAGACGTCCGGTCAGTATTCCAGCCCTCACACAAGCGATGAGACTTAGTGTGGCGCATCTCTTGGCTCCAGTAATGTAACGAGTTTGCATTTTAATAATAACGATAACAAATAAAATTCTAATATCACATAACTGAAATACCTACAACAACAATAATATCTACCAATAATAGATAGAACTTACTTGTTCAGCAGCAAATTGAAGACTCTTCTTCGCATGTCCACCAGAGATTGCAGCAGCTGCACCAATTGCCAATGCAGCACAAATAGCTTCATCAGCACTGAATTGATGTAGGTAGGCAGTAAGGTAACCACCTTCAAAGCCTAACTTTAAACTACTATCTATATAACCAGGAAAAGTGGACATCATCTCAGATATTTGATGATCAGTATAACCACCACCACCTTCACCAATACCTGATAGTGGTAATATTGAAGTATTTGAGGCGAATTCTCGACATAAATACTCTTGCAGACGAGTTAACGGACTAGGCAGTCGAAAATGAACAACACCTTGAGCAGAGATAAGCAATAAACGACGACTTGGTGGATCTAATATTTGAGTAAGTACAACTGGAGGTTCTCCACGTAAAGAATTACCTTGAGGCGTTACCTGAAGAGAATCTGAACGACTGGAAGGCATTGTATGAAGGAGAGAAAAAAGGAAGAAAGAAATGAACGGTTATCATGGATATGAAAAATGCATACAATAGGAATTATTGCTACTCTGGTGCCTCACAAGCTTCACTACGAGATACAGTTGCTAGCCGGGTCACTTATATCACTGCGATCACGACCGCCACCGTCAGAGACAATGACCAGTTGTCATGTGGATGTATGAGAGGTTCCTAAACATTTATTATTATCCCACTGGCCGCTTAATTAGGTCAGTTCAATGCATTATTGTTCTTGCCAACTCAACAATTCAGAAAGCTTTTGGCTTATAAATATCATGAAGTCTACTTTCTTGCTTCTAATTAGAATGAAGGATTTCAAGGAATGTGAATACTATCCAGTTGAATTATAGTCCATTGGCTTCAAAACTTTGTCGTCATTCAGACAGGCTGATCGGCTTACTTCAACCTGAGAAACTTGGATGTTATCATCATTAGCTCTCAAATCCCGGTACATGCGAAAAAAATACAATATTTTCTGAGAACACCTGAATGTTATAGGCTTTGTTTACTTTTATATTTTCTTTTGATTTATGTTACACTGGACGGTGAAAACAGTCACTTTCTAACTCTACCCAGAGTTAAACGCAAATCAAAAAATTTATCTATCTAGAGAATTGGTTACAAATAAGCTAGAAATGGATTGGACATTCGCTGAGAAGGCCACTGGGTGACATCGGGTGTCAAGCCCTCGAGTGAACCAGAAAGGGAAGCGGCGAGTGGGACGTCCAAGGGTAACATGGAGGAGATCGTGTGAAGAGGAGTTGAAACAGTATGGGCTAACATGGATGCAGGTGAAAAGTACAGCAGAAGACAGAAGCAAGTGGAGACGTGCAGTTGAAGCCTTATGTTCCACTAGGAACCCAAGGGAATAATAATAATAATATTAGAACGAAGAGAATACGAAGTTCAGCAAAAATATCTTTTCGGCTAAAAGATACCTATGCTGAACTTCGTGTTCTCTTCTTTCTAACGTCCATATGGGTATTTTCCACGAAATAATAATAATAAGCTAGAAACATCAACTTCACCAAGTCAGCGGTTTAAAATCAGATATCCACTTGGCGAGGGTTTTTCTTTTCTGACCGAATACTACTACCTTGACGTGTTGGTCTGGCTTGCATATCTCAATGACGCAAACAAGCTACATTGGCTGGAACTAATTTACCTGCATGTCTTACCGTACTGATAGCGAATAGAAATATAACAGCAGTAAGGTGTTTCCCTTAAGGTGGCCAGTCAGCATACCAGTTGTGCCGGTTCACCGCTTTGAATGATAGGAAGGATATAAAATGTCGACTCTGAAAATTGTGCATACCGACTTACCTTGCCGCGGTTCGTAACCGGCGGTGAGATCTTAATACAGGCGCAATGTCAAAGACCACTTGAAACAAACAGCATATAACCGAACTTTAAGAAGTTATTCCCATGGGTTTTGTGGTCATCCAAAACTAAAATGCTCTCCCTGTTTCAGGTACACCAGAAAAAAACCCAACTTTCATGGTGTGGGCAACCAGGAAGTAAAAATCATCTAGACACCTCCAAAAGCATATAGAAAGGTTATAGAGGGTCTGGCTCGACTAACCAGGTAGTAGTAACCAAGTAGAATCAGCCCTTATACAATAACTAACATAGCTCACTTGCCAAATGCACGTTAATGCAAATAACTGTTTAACACTAGCGCTTTTAACCGTATCCACAGCTTTTACAATGTATATGGGGAACACTGAGCTTGAGTGTTCACCTGTCAGTTATTAGGCAATGGAGTGGCCGGGTGGTGGGGTTGAAGCCTTGCTCTACGTTTAGTAGGTGAATCGTGAGGGATTCAAACCTGTGAGGTTGAAGACTGAAAGCCAAACGCCTAGACCAATGACCCACAGTTCCAATTAAGACCATAACACGAACATTTAAAGTATCGAAAGCGACAGTAATACACGTGGAAATTTCTTAAAAACAACTTGGCGAAACCATTTTTGATTGATGTTGATTAACTGTCTGTTTGTCTGTTTGTTTTCGACATAGAACTTTGCACAAATGTGCGCCAGTTCAAGTCGCCATACTCCGTGTAGCACGCGAAGCAAGAGAAGAAAGTACAAGAAAAGCATAATCGAAACAGTGAGCAGAGGTGTGAGACAAAGGAGTAATAAAGAAAAACAAAACAGTTTCATTGGAGATCATAAGTCACAGGGAGTGGATGCATCTGCGCTAGCCACTGAGAACGATGAGTTTGAGCCATGTCACCAATTGTTTCCAACCATAGATTTTTACCGTCCCGAGGACCCCAACCTGGAAGTCTACACCTTCCTACGTGGCTTAGACCAACTGTTGTGGATTTCATTGACTGGTGAGGCCATGTTTTTGTTTGACCGCCGCTAGCTTTTTTCCAGGCTGACCCTATATCAGCTAACATTGCCCATTGTCGAGGAAGGCGATGACTAGGCAGGCATACGTAACACATGTCCTAACCATCTCAGTCGGTGTAACTTCACGACTTCGTCGATTGATTTCCCCTCCTTACCTAGAACTCTACGCCTAACCTCCATGTTGCTCACCTTATTATGCCACTTCACACGGGAAATAGAACGCAGGCACCTATGATCAAAGGCAGCTAGTCTTTTCATGTCTTCCACTCTCAGTGGCCAGGTCTCACAACCATAAAGGAGGACGGAGCGGACTGATGAGCAGTACACCCGCCCTTTGGTCGATAGTCGAACATTTCGTCTACGCCAGAGTCGGCGTAAACTGGCAAATGCGGAACGAGCCCCCTGTATTCGCGCTGAGATTTCGTCAGAGATCAACCCGTTGGGGCTGATGGTACTTCCTGATTAACAGTGGAACCGAAGATGCTCATTTCATCCTGCTTATCAACCATCGACTGAACACACCTGCATTCCCAGCGAGTGACAATGTTGGACTAATGGATAATGCTTTGGTGTTTGAAACGATGGGTGTAGGCGTCTGAGAGTCCCAATGACGGTGGCGGGGGAACCATCATTTACTGGCGCAATGCAGATACACTTCAGCTGACCAGTCCCAAAAATCAGACGAAATACTTATATATTTTGGATCCAACTGGTAAGTAGTCACCAAAAGCTAATAAAATAAACTTCGACCTTAATCTACAGTCACACCATCAAAGCGTCCGCGCTCTAACAGCTAATCCACCAGAAATAGAAAATTCAGCCTACGGTATAAAAAAAACTTTCCCTACCTTTTATCGATCGCTGTTGTTGTTGAATATCCAGCTAAATGACTACCAAAAGAATCCATGTGTAAATGATTGTCAGGTAGTACTGTCATTGCCCATGCACCACCGATACATTGTGTCGCCATAAAACTTTCAGCTAAATTCGGTGTCCATGGATAGGGATCAGGACTTATTGTATAAATGATATGTGGTGGTATTTGTTTCGTGAATGCATTCAGCGAATTTGTATCAAAATCATTAGTAATAAAACTATTATCAGAAATATTATCATTAGCATTATTATTATTATTGTTATTATCATAACAGTTGGATTGATCAAGAAATTGATTATTGTCTAAATCTGACGTGAAAAATTGTCCTAAACTCATATTTAAACTGGATTGATGATTAACACTGACAGGATATGATGATTTGAATCGACTACGACTACTGTTGTTTAGTGTTGTTGTGGATGCATTTGATGGCGGTAAAGTTGATATCATCACAACTGTACCACGTGTTTCAACAGCTAATCTAGAAAGATGGGGAGAAAATACATACACAAATATATATATGTATAGATATACAAAAGACAAGGCAGGTATTATTTAAAAAAGAATTCAGAAGATTGATTAATATAGATGAAGGCTACAGGTTCGAAATAAGTCCCTCTTCTTCTGAACATCTTGAGCAGATATATAATTGAAATTTAGATTTTGATTGATTGAACCGAAGTGCTCGGTCACAGATTGACATGTTTGTTGGCTTCCTGTGCAGATGCTTCGACAATGTCTGGGCATTTAATTAGAATTTAATTTGTGGATGGTGATTAGCAGTGGAATACAGGATGTGCATTTCGTCCCATTTGGGACTCGTCAACTGGATGCACCTGCATTTCCCAGTGAGTGATGGTGTTCCCACCTGGAAATGCGGGTGCATCCAGCTGACGAGTCCCAAATAGGACGAAATTCGCATCCTGGATTTTAATGCTAGTCACCACTCACAAATTAAATTCATGGGCAAATATCAGGGAATGTTTGGTATAGGATTCACTTCTGTCACAAAAGCGAAATGACGTTGTAGGACTGGAGTACACTGACTCCTACTTTATAGATAGGCAGTGAAGTAGTACAGTACAGTACAGTACAACAGCAACAACCAGCGCCAATCAATGAGAGATTTAACAGAGACTACTTCCTGTCTTCACCTATGTAGTCAGGCACCATCGTTTCAACCACGGGCAGACGAAACAGATGAAGATGTCAAAACCAGCCAGCCAGTCAGAATCAGAAAGGGAAGATACGCCTACATCAACCTGAAACCACTTTGGAAATCTTCTGCACTCAGCCTCAGAATAAAGAACAATATTCGGAATTTTGACACCGATGTTAAGTCAGTCGGTTCTTCTATATGGGTCAGAAACTTGGCGGTGTGTGATTCACGAAGAGCATTTCCGACAGCCTGTTGTGGACTTATATCAACAGCTGCCTTCGCCGGCTTCATACTGAAGCTCAGGTGGATGGCTAGAAAGACTTAGTAACAAGAAACTCTTCAGTGGAACAAACTAACCGAGAGCCAACTGTTCAACAAGTATAAATTAGAAAATGGAGATAGGTCGGTCGGGCATACTTTGAGGAGACCACCGAATGACTTCGCGTGCGATGTAGTCCATTGCTCCAGTGGAATTATAATGGAAAGGCATGAGTGGGTCGTCACATAGAAGATGACATGGGATAGATCGTGCCAGTTGGAGGAGATAAGAAATTAAAGGCAATCGTGGACCCAACTGAAGAGGATAGCAGAAAGTAGAAAAAAGTGGAGATGTGCTGTTGTAGCCCTGTGTTCCACTGGGAACCAAAGGGAATAATTAATAATAGTAATAATAAAGTGGTAGAGTATGTTGACCACTTGACTTATTTGGGAAGTTGCATCAGCCTTAATGGACTCATTGACTTCTGACGAAATCTCATGCGGTATTTGTCCACTACTCACGTCATCTCTGGTGTAAAGGTGATATGTAGCTATCGACAGTTCGCTTCGTCCTCCTTTATGGCTGCGAGTGTGACATGGTGATTGAAAATGGAAGATATGAAGAGACTGGCTATTGTTGACCGCAAATATTTGCATTCTATCTCTCCTGTTAAGTAGTATAATATGATGATTAATATAGAGGTTAGCAGTAGACTGTTAAGTAAAACGGATAGACTAATCGAGCTCTACGCATAACGAGCCACCGCCTTCCTCAACAAACAATGTTAACTAACATAGAACTAGGTGGGAAAAGTTTTAAGTCATGAAGCCGAATCTGGACATTAATCCGTGATATGTTTATTTTCACTCTGTTGATTAGATGTGTAAACTGGCTGTTTGGTGTTCTCGAGATGATATCAGCCGGTGTCAGGAGACTATTATTGGTGATATAACCTCAAAATTGGTCTCAATGGTGAAGATACATTGTCTTTGTGATAGGCCAGATTCACTAAGTACTCCCCCGTATTTCAATGAAAATAGCGACGTTCTGATGAAACCCACACAGAACCTAAGGGAATAAATAATGATAAGGGATAGGTGCGCAGTTTCAGAGGTGATTCGACCACGAACCATGTGAGTTGACATGATTATGAGTAATACATTGTGCCCAAAACGTCATCACACTATTTTGGTACAAGTATGGAATTTTCAGCATTCGATATCGGTAACTCAAATTTTGTAGGCTGACCAATTGATATCAGATGCGCGTCGGCAGGGGATCGAACCCCGGACCATATGCATGGTCGGCGACAGTTCCAACCGCTGTACCACCGATGCACAAGTAGTAAATCCACTCAATGATGGAATTCCACTACTCTGTCAGTGTCAGTTGTGCTCAAGTTTTTTTTATATCAATCCTATCGTTCAACCGTCAGCGTCGACGTCGACGTCAACAGTCAATCTAGGAGGATAAAAAAACAAGAACAGTGGTGTTTCAAATGAAAACAGGGATGGGAAAAAAAGGGAGGCTGAAACTACTTACTTCACTTCACTTAATCCAACAGTATCAAAAGGTGAAGATGGAGGGAGTCGTATATGCAGTAGGCGAAGATTTTCACCAAAGTATAAACGAATACCTGTTCGTGTAACAGCCATCAGATAGCATAGACCAGAGGATAACGGTGTCACAGAAATAATACTGTTCGTAAACAAATAAAGAAAAGAAACAAATATGAGTAAATATTTTCTTAGAAGAACAGAAATTAAATTATTGGCTAGAGATAATATCCCACTTAACAAATGTACTCAACTGCATACTTGGCCATCAGAAATGGGATAATAAATCCGGTCTAGTAGTTGTAATAGTCTGAAGGCAATCGATAGGCGGAGATACTCTTCTTTCATAACAATATACACATGCACAGATAACTAAGGAAATCACTAGCTCACTATTGACTGGCCGTATTCAGGTAGGCAGTTAGTTACCTGGGGTTCTGGTGGGAAGCCATGACCAGTAGGGTAGAGCAGACCGAAGGTGAGGACGGTTACCCATAGAAGAAGACATTTCGAAGTGGTCGCGCTATGTCGTGAATTTCCCAAAAGATGGAATTCATGGACTGGCCATTGGATAGAGTCCCAATGAGTGGCTTAATGGTCTACGAGCTCGCCTTGTAACCATAAGGTCTAGGGTTCGAACTCCGGCGATGGGTGAAAGCCGATGAAGAGTCACGCACTAGGTTGACGAAACGGCTAGTTGTCCAGCACTCCAAGTACCCTAGTTTTCCAATGGTTCTCTAACCGATGTTAGCTCATGATGAAGTCCACCAATCAATCATGTTAAAACTTGATGTGTTTATGCATTGATATGTAGAAATACGAGACTGGTTAATCCAGTGTAACTGAAAGAAACATTCAAGTGTTGGTTTGCAGGGTTTTGACCGGTTACAGAATTTTCATCATGAGCCAGCATCAGTTAGGAGGCCATTAGGAAACCAACCAGTATGCTTCCCCACCGATGTTCGAATGCAGGAACGTCCGCTTACAAGGCGAACCTGTAGACCATTAAGCCACTGGGACCTGATTCAATGGCTCCAAACTAGGACGAAATAGCTGTCGAGTACTCTCAGATGGTTTTCAAATAGTTCTCCAGCCGATGTCAGCTCATGATGAAATTCCTGTAAAAGAAACATGTTTACTAGTCCCTGGGAATGGAGGGAAAATGCAAAGGAGTGGCCAATGCATGATAGAGAGCTATGGGATGAAGGATAGCTATATTGGATTAGCATTTTTCGGTGCATCACAAATCTCTGGTTCAAGTTTTAGAAACAATTTGATTCTGTTATTCAAGATATCATCATTAAATATGGCTGAGAATCGTAATCAGTGAGGTAAACATGTAGTAATTTCTGTCTTAAAGAAAGTAATAATGAAGTCATGGACGCTCCATAAATGCTCTTCACAGAGTATGCTTGCCTGTATTTGTGAGGCTCTGCATTAAATGTCCTACTTCTTTTCTATGTACTATTATTGTTTTTTATGCAGAGAGTTTCTCGTCGTCCGTAGTGTACCAAGTAATATAAAAGGATGCTTCCACAAACGTTTACTGATAACATGGAGGCAAAACTCCTAACACTGTTGGACCGTTCAAATTCACAAAGCCATCTATCACAGCTTATTTTAGACCTCGATGAAAATCACAGCTGTCAGCAGAATAATACACAATACAATCAATATTTCGGCTCCACATTCCACAAAGTTTTCTTGTTCCTTCGCATCCCCAGTGGAACATAAGGCTTCAAGCTTCAGATTTGAAGTCTCGGTAGCAGTTGTTTGATTTTTACCGGATGAGGTTGCTAGTCTCATGCGCCACTATCCCTGTTTGCCAGGCTTATCACAAGCTAGGCGAGATTCGCGAGTGAGTCGGCCTGGAATCGAACCCCGGAACACGTGAGTGCGTGCACGTGTACACCTCTGCGTCAGCGACTCACAACATTCTACCAAGTAGTTCAATGTTTTTGAAAAGCAATAGCAACCTCTACAATGTTGATTCAGTCCTGGGATTGATTCCTGCTAAGGAGTCATGGGTACACACTGATGAAGAGTTTCAAACTGAAACCAAATAGAATGTCCAGTGCTCCATGTTGGTTCTCAATAATTCTCTTTAACTGCTGACGAAGCGTGACTGTACCTTCACATTGAGAAATAATCATTTTTGCCTGAAAATATTCAAGCATAAGATGCCAGTGATATTATTGAGTCTCAATAGACAATAAAATACTCCAAAGATAATAGAACACATTTACTCTCTCTTCAGACTACTTACTTTCTAAATTGATTTTTATCTACAGAACGTACAATACATGATGCTTGATAGGCTAAATCTGAAGCTGATAATGTGGACAGACGAGAAAAAGAACCAGAGATTTTATCGGTAAATTCGTAAACTGTTAACCGAGAATCTTCTGTACGCGTATAGAGTAGATGTCTTGGAGTATCCACTGACAACTGAACTATTGAATCTATCAACAACAACAACAACAAAAAAAGCAACAGAGAAATAAGAATAACACACACCTACACAAGATATAATTTATAAGGGGGAAAACACAAACGATTTGAAGCAGTCATATAAAAATGGGTAAATAGTTTGAATGTGAATCCCTGTGGATGGAATCTAATCGCATGCAGGCATGATGAGTGTTATTACATCACAGGTCAAGAGAGGTTAAATACCGTGGGTCATTAGATCCCAGTTAATTAACACAATGATAAATTGGATCCTCTACTTTCGATCTCTTATGATGAGGATATACTACTGAAGAATCAATAAGTAGAACAAAACAGATGTTGAACAATACTCATTGGCTTTCAATAGGTTTTGTTTTTAACCAACGTCATTTTGTGACAGCCTTGGAGAATTTTTTAATATGTTCTCATATCAAAATATGTTCATATCAAAATTACCTGTTCAGCCGAAATGTCGATAACTCCTTTCTACTGTAAACCGCTTAGTAAAGATCATAGATTACGACCTGAGGGCAAAGGAGGGGGGAGGAGCTAGTAACATTGTGGGACTAATATTCCATTGGCACACATTGGCTGTATCATACTCGTCCCTCTATCAAGAACTTTCAACTGAAGTCGATTGGATCTTCTTGGTACTGGTGGCTTTGTTAGCTTGTCTGGGTTTATCGAGTTCCGGAGTGCGCTGACGTTCACTCCCTCCTCTCTGTGTTTGCATTTCTGATCATATATACGTGACCCCTTCTCATGGTGACCACTTTGAGAGCAGTTTGCATGACCCTGGCTTGTATTCGCCAGTGTTCTGCCTCACAATATCATATGCTGCCGTCGTCCGAACTCCCAGTAGCGTTCCAAGTACCATCCTCATCGCTGACCGACCTTGAACGCTACTCAATTGCGCAACAGCCTTGAAGTCCTTCGAGAAGATTCATACGTCTCCATCAAAAACTGCAGGGCTTAGGCTTTACATTTGTCGGTAGACAGCGACGTCTAATGTGACTACAAAAGACAAGACACGGAAGCCACTGATCCATCCGCTATTTATATATGTACAGTTTATATTTGTTAACCAATCACTGAGCGTGTGATTTCCGTTTACATCAAACGACATGAAATAGAAAGTCCAAATATGCACAGGATTCTTTTGTTAATGAAGTATATAACTGTGGAAAATGTATTCTGTCTCTAACATCAAATAGAATGTTCAAATAGATATATCGTGTTCTGATGCTAATAGCGAATTGAACTGTGGGAATATGTGAGAATAATACTCCATTGGCACACATTGGCTGTATCATAACACCACCACATGACAAAATAGCAATCAAGCATTGGTGATGGTGACTCACAGATTTTGGAAACTAGATCTTAATGATCTAAAACAGAGAGAGGGTAGTCATTCCGCTTGTGTTTTGTTGTGCTGCAAAACTGAAATTATTCGCCGTGAGCTCAAATTAAGAATTTTAATTGTACGAACTGACTAGTTCAGGTTAGCTGACTAGCGTGAACTCTAAAACACCTGTTACCTATGTGTAAGAAGTAATGAAATTTATGTATATATTGTAGACCTTCGCCATTGTGGTAGACTGGAATATTACTTATTTTATTATCTTATTCCTTTGCATTCCAAGTGGAACATCAGGCTTCAAACTTCTTGAGCTTTGAAGTTTCAGTAGCAATGGTGTTATTGTTTTCGTTTACAGGGTGGGGTTGCTAGCCTCACTCCCCACCCCGTTCTCTTTCTTTACCAGGTGAGATTTATGGGCGAGTCGGCTAGGAATCGAACCCGTATCAGACGCAGTGTGGTTGGCAAGCACTCTATTACTGAACCGTAGACAAACCAATGTAAAATATGGGATAATGAAATTTAATTCAGCATTTTACGATATAACAGTATTAACCAAAACATTATGCTGCTATGGACTGTACCTTGTCCAAGTACACTACAGTTACGTTGGAGTGTAAGCCGAAAAACAGCACTGGTTTACCTTTCAGACCGACAACATCAGTCTTATGATATCTGAGGACGGTAAGTCCTATACGCTGACCTTCACGCGACAGTGGGTGTTTCTCACAGAAGCGAAAGGGCAAATGTGAAAATCTGCCGCTTACAGTTGGACTGGTGGACATCCAGAGGAGCTGTAAAATCTTGATCCTAAACATATGGTGTGTAAGTAGTTCCCGGAATCCGAAGAGATCAAATGGCATATAGTAAAGCTGGTTTGGTCACCCACAACAGAATGAGAATGCAACTCCTCTGCCTTTGTGGATCAGAATTCAAGTCAAAGTTTCGGGTGAGGGGTAGTCCCTTAAGACAACCACCTTCTTCGGTTCAATCTAGGCCCCCAAGGCAGTATACAAACCCTTACATAAACTATGAAATTAGTGTGTAGTGCATCCTTCGGTGTCCATAATATGTAATAAATTTGTGTTCTGACGGACAAAATAAGTAAATAAATAAATAATAACATACCTCCATTATGAAATCTTGACGTTATAATCGATGGTAATAACAAGCTGAATGCAGACACTGAATGATTGACAAGTGTACACGGTCCACTTTTACTAATATTTGGCTGAACAGAAGCTCCCTCCCAATTCGGGATTGAACTGTAAGTCATTTCAAGTAGAAATCCTTCACGGGTGCCAAGAAATATCCTAGAGAGAAAAAGAGTAAATAGTATTGAATGAAAAAGAAGTAAAAAACACAATAATATTTGAAAGGAAAAGATTGTATTTATCATTATGGAAAATGATGCTTAAACTGAGATAATGAAGGATAATAATAATGATAATTTGCTTTATTCCAAAACAGTACTTGCGACACAATGGAATTCTCAGCATTTTGCTACAGTATTGCATCCAGTTAGTAAATTAACAATAAAATAAAATTCTACATAGATTAAGGGTAATCTCAGCTATATTTGACAACATATTAGCATGTCGGTAGCACAGCCAAAATTAAACAGAGTTTTTGAAGGTGCTAGAAAAGTAGGTTCCAGCATATTTACTGGTGTGAGCAGAAAGAAAAACGTACCTATAAATGATATGATTTGGAAAGACAAGATCCAGTTGTTCTACTGACTATTTAACAAGTTAAAGATTTCACGCCTAATGCTTTCTTTATCACACAGAACACGAGCTAAGTAGGGTGTGGTTGAGTTTTTGTACTTACTAGTGGGAGCATATAGTTTTCTATATAGGCTTCTGGTTTTGCCTGAAGAGATACAAGCGGAAAGTTGTGAATGAAGAGGGTGTTGTGAGTTAGATAAAATGGATTTAGCCCATTTTTCACATGAGTCTATGTGCCTTTCAACCAGAATATTAACAAGCTGGTTATGTGGCCCGTTGCTCACCCTGCTTACAACCTTTAACATCCTGCGTAATAAGGTATAGTCTTTCTTCAGTAGCCAGCCCTGGAAAAACTACGAGGGAGGAATAGAGAATAATAGGCAGAATACGGGAGTTAACGAATTGTAGGAGTAAGGGTCGGGTTATACCAGAATGTCTCAACTTCTTGATGTAGAAGGTAAGACGGAATATTTTCTTAGAAATCATCAAGATATGAGACGACGCCTAGGTATTTAATTTCTGACTTGGTTTCTATTTCAGTACCATCAATGTTGCACATCTCGTGAGTGCTAACCAGTTTGTTTAGGTTAGATTTGTGCCTAAAGATGAAATTAACTGTTTGGCATTTGGAGGGGTTTAAGGTGAGACCGTTTTCCTTGGACCATTGGTTGACTTCTAATAAAAAGCCGTTTAGTTTAGTGCGTCAATTGTTGTAAAATTTACTTCCTTAATGGATTGTATTGTACACAAGGTGCAAACTATGCGCACTAAATACACATAGATTGAGATTAGTTCAGAAAAATTGAATTGTAAGCAAAAATCAATAAGTATGCACTTGTGTTGATTCATTGAGATGCCAGCATTGCTCAAAGTAAATGCGATAATTATACAGGGTGTATAAGACAACTACCCAAATACAACAAACCCACTGGCCTTTCAACAATAATAATAATCAGTAGTCTGAAAAATGTACAAACCGAAGTGAAATCTCATCAAAATACTGATGGACTGATTGAGTTCTCAGGCTACAACTAGGGATCGGTGAGTTTACGCCATTGAGAATGATTTCGAACCATGTCACGATAAGTCTCCAACTGTCAGGCGTCTTAGCGTCATCAACAATCTACACCTTCATATTTGGCTCAAACCAACTGTCGACTACTCCATGAAATGATGATAGGTGTTGGCTTGACCACCGACCTAGACTTCTTTCCAACTCCATCTTATGTCAACTAACATTAATTGTTGTAGAAGGCAGGGGTTGCGTATGCGTAGCGCATGCCCTAGCCGTCTCAACCGATATAGCTTCACAGCTGCATCGATTGACTTACCCACCTAATCTAACACTCTACGCATAATCTGGATACTACTCACCATATTATACCACTTAACATAAGAGATAGAATGCAAACATCTGTGGTCAAAAACTGTCAACCTTTTCCTTATCTCCACTGTCCGTAGCCATATTTCATAGCCATAATGGAGAATAAAGAGAACTGCTGCACAGTACACACACGTTCTTTAATCGATAGACACATACCCCAAATAAGTGAGGTGGTCAACTCACTCAACCATGTCACTTAATATCTTTAAACTGGGGGGCCGGTACACGTCAGTCCTGCAGCATCATCTTACATTTGACAGAGATGAATCGCATATCAGATGGCTCAAGATTTCTGTTCAAGGTGTTTAGAAGACTCTATATTTTGCCAGCATCACCTAAGTTAACGAGACTGCTGCCTGACAACATGTCAATCCCCTAAGTCGCTGAGGTTGACTAAAGTCACATCCGCGTTAGTACATCTATGATGAAAGTAAAAACACAGGGACACAGTGGGCATTCCCATAGGTGTTATTCATCAATTACCTTCAAATGGGCATTTTATGGAGGACACTGCATGTTATTCATTACATTTGGATCCTACATCATGTTTGATAATATCTCAAGGCATTAGGCGATATAATGTTTCAGATTCTGTCAAACGAGTCATGACACATTGACTGATTTTAGTTCAACTCAACTTCCTGTCATCCTGAACACTTTTTTTCAAAGGGGTTCAACGGTCAGCAGACAATAGACACTGTGGAAGCAACTGGAACAACTTTTAATAGTCTGACCACCATTGTAGGGGTACCGAAAATTGTGCATTTTCTATTTTTACACATATTTCTGGTCCTTGATATACAATATTAGGAACCTTATCCCCATCAAAGCCCATCAGCACTCAAACTACTACCTAGATACACGAATTTCTCGACAGTTCAACCAATAAGGTTAATAAAGATACACATCTTGCAATTCGACGTTGGAAAGCACACCACACTTACAGATACTGCTAACTAATTAAGTGTGAACTGAGTAGTCTGTGTGCTGTCGTACAGTGAAACTATCATCAGCATGCTTAAAGTGGTTTTACTCCAGATAGCAAATTTACATCACCACCATACCACTTGTAAAGGCATCTCAAGAATATCACTGATAACATATTAGGAAAGGAATAGGGAGATAACTTAATACTGTCTAATGATATAGCAGATTTGAGACAGCAGTGAATCGCTGTATGTTCCTTGTCTACCTCAAGATCTCTTAAAATATGGATGAACTCCTTGTGCGCGATCCACAAGAGCAGTCTTGTCCAACGAAAGAGTCGACGAATTACAGTGCTTGCTTTGGTATTTAAGAGATTGGAGGATAATAATCATTCGACTGGTACATTCTCATAGTTTACAACCAAACACACACCTTGTGACGCGTTCAGTACAACTTTTGAATTGTCACAGTGGTCAATACTTTTAACCAGAGTGAGAATAAGCCTATACTTCATTTTTCGTCACAAACATTGTCCATCTTTTTTAAAGCAGGAGAAATAGTGATATCATTTCACAGTGATGAAGGAGTTTTAGTCCATCATAAGTTATCCAAAACCATAGTCAGCTCTTTGACCAGAGTCTTTACTCTACCTTTAAAAAGATGGAGGTTGTAAGTTGAACATAGTGTGCTTCAGTACACTTATCGCTCCTTATTCATCTGTCCCTGAATTCTTCTTGACGTTTTGAAGAGTGGCAATTTAGACCCAAAACACTTTAATACACGACTTTCTGAGTGATAACATATTTTTTAAATAATATTCAAATAAGCAATTAAGATGAAAACGCTAATTACATTACCTGCCGTTTGGTGTGCCTTCAATGCATGAAATATAATTATTTTCTGTGGATAAATAATACAAGGGATCCGGCATCACTTCAAGGACAGGAGATGGAGATTGCATACCGAGTGTGTGCGTATTACTCCCATTTGAATACATCATACCAAGAAGCCATATTTCCGATGGAGTAGCTAAGCATAGTAAAAATCTGATATGTTCTGGTAGTACACCTACAAAAAGATATTCACAAAACACACGAACGCATTATAATTAACAAGTGAACTACTACTTATTTACTAATTATTTCTCTGAGTTTCTTTTTTGATGTAATGTAAATTACTATTCTAGGAAAATATGATCTAAAATCTGTTAGAGCAGTACAAATGGATTCCTACTTTATGATTACCTTAATTTTAAAATTCTATGCATATGTATCCTCTATTGCAGTCATTTTTTAATTTACCATTTTATTCACTTCTAAAAATACCCTCGAAATTAACTAATTCATCTTCTCGATAACTATATTCAAATGAGTTGACTTGGAATGAAACAACCTGAACTAAGATACAGTCATACAACTTTGGACCATTTTTAAGATGATTTAAACATCTTTATTAAGTTATTAAAAGGAAGATAATGGGTGACTTTACACTTTTCGCTTACGTGTAGTACAAGAGAACACAAATAATTAATTTCCGGCATCGCGGCACAGTATGTCTAAAGATAATCTTAATGTACATAATAAGTATTTTTGCTCCCATTGAGCAAGCTATACCAGAAATACTTGGCATTTTCTTACTAGACATTTCCTTGAAACAATACGCTATTTCAATTTTGAAGGAGTAAAAGGTCATACAATTAAAATTTAATTTCATTGACGATAAAGCACGTGGGAATCTCGTGAAACGTGTAAAGATAACGTTTTAAAAAAACACCTATGTCCGATAAGTGCAGATACGGATCAAATAAAGTGATAGTAGCCTACAAAGCTAATGGATGTAAGTTGTCTGGATGGCGTTTTTGTAATACGAAAAATAAATTCCACGAAAAGGAATGATATGGGTTGGAATTAATTGCACAAACATGACAAATTTCTGTGCAGTTTTAAATTATGTAATGTTTAACCATTCCATTTTTGTAAGTCGACATTGACTTGTTTTTATATGGCTTAAACAGAAAACATGTTACAAATCTTGTTTCCGTAAACCCATGAGGTACTCAGACCTGTCAGTAGTTATCCAAAAGAATCTCAATATTTCTTAATATAACCAAAACGAGTATCTGGCGAGTCAAAGAGACCTATTTAATTTTAAAATGACATTATGGAATAAGTGAGTACAGTTATTTGTATTGGACATGTTGTTGGATTGGGTAGCTGCTTTTTGTTTAACCGCTATCCAAACAACCTGCCTGGCATGGTAGAACCTCAAGAGACATAAGTCTCAGCCAGTATAGCTTGATTAGGTCATTGCGGTGTTCAAGCCCGACCACCACGTCAAGGTAGCAGCCAAATGCAAGATGATGTTACAGGACTGGACTACATCGACGCCTAGTTTAAAAATAGGAAGTGAAGTGGTAGAGCACGTTGACCGCTTCACTTATTTGGGAAGTACCATCAGCCCCAACGGGCTGATCTCTAAAGAAATCTCAGCACGAATACAAGGGGCTCGTTTCGCATTTGTTAGTTTACGCCGACTCTGGCGTAGACGAGATGTTCGACTATCGACCAAAGGGCGGGTGTACTGCTCATCAGTCCGCTCCGTCCTCCTTTATGGTTGTGAGACCTGGCCACTGAGAGTGGAAGACATGAAAAGACTAGCTGCCTTTGATCATAGGTGCCTGCGTTCTATTTCCCGTGTGAAGTGGCATAATAAGGTGAGCAACATGGAGGTTAGGCGTAGAGTTCTAGGTAAACAGGGGAAATCAATCGACGAAGTCGTGAAGCTACAAAGACTGAGATGGTTAGGACATGTGTTACGTATGCCTGCCTAGTCATCGCCTCCCTCGACGAGCAATGTTAGCGGATATAGGGTCAGGCTGGAAAAAAGCTAGCGGCGGTCAAACAAAAGCTTGGCTTCACCAGTCAATGAAATCCACAACAGTTGGTCTAAGCCACGTAGGAAGGTGTAGACTTCCAGGCTGGGGTTCTCGGGACGGTAAAAATCTATGGTTGGAAACAATTGGTGACATGGCTCAAAATCGTTCTCAGTGGCGCAGATGCATCCACTCCCTGTGACTTATGATCTTCAATGAAACTGTTTTGTATTTCTTTATTACTCCTTTGTCTCACACCTCTGCTCACTGTTTCTATTATGCTTTTCTTGTACTTTCTTCTCTTGCTTCGCGTGCTACACGGAATGTGGCGACTTGAACTTCCGCACATTTGTGCAAAGTTCTATGTCGAAAACAGACAGACAGACAGAGTACAGTTAGCTATATATGCACGAATGAGGTTAAGCAAACATCGGAGTATCAGTGCTAGCTAGTTAGGCTCCAAGACATCGTAAGACTTGCTACAAACGACGATTTCGGCATGAATTGCTGCTTACCAGTCGAATGGGAAAGGCAATTTAATTTCAAGCTGGCGCATACCAATCCACTTTGACTAGTATATTGCACGAATGCCGTTTTCCTTAAAGGCGAGATAGACTGAAAAGTGCCTGCTTTCAGTACCTAACCCAACTTTTTTCAATACGTAAAAAGTAGAAGCGACAATGCATCTAAACTAAGCGACAGACATCGGTCAAAGGTTTGTGTACTAAGGAATCGTTCAATTTAGTATAACTTTCAATAACTGTTTTTTTAAATCACTGCGCATAAAACCACTGGGACACACATATAATCAATTGAGTGATAGGTTTATCATTAGAAATTCTGCATGAGAATATCAAAGAGATTATCCCATACAGCACATGAGTCAACCAATCATGTGACCACTGACCAAGTAGTAACACGTATAAAACCCCGGGAATGGAAAAATGTTAGGATGCCGAAATTTGAGGTGAAACAGTATTCGAGGATGAAAAGTGGAATGCGGGCAATCCCATGTTTAAAATCCCCCCCCACTTTTTTATTCGATGCTTGGTACTAAGATAGAGAAAGGTATTGACGTTTAGAACCCGAATGTTAGTATACATTTTTCCTGCCAAAGCACCCACAGAGAAATGGACAAAATTGATTTCAGTAAGCTTCACACGAAACGTGGATATGAAATGACACAACACATGTATGAGCAAAAGACTCCAGTAACATACCACTAGAGCTAATACAAGACTTCCCCGAGGATTAAGAAAACTCCAAACTCTAATAAAAAGACAGACTATGGCAATGAAATCATTATAAAATCTGATAACAGAGGGAACTTTCAAACTTACCAGGAGATGGTACGATGAGCCCAACAGATACGATGGTGTCAGGCATTCCATCATAATACGCTAAATCCTCCCTAAATGTATGTTTCAGAATTTTAAATTTGAGTCACAAACCCATCCTCAAAATTCCACATGAATATTTCGTTATCTATTGTGACCCATACTTTTTCACATGAAGTGAAAACTCCCATCAGACAGTTTGTTTGCATACCTGTCGTGAAATAAATTTAACTGGGTTAAGGTTAAGTGTACCAGTGAATCGTTCAACGAGATCTGGTGGTAGTGGGAAGGATTTTATGACCTCTATATCATGACTCAGGTTTTCATTCAACAGCGGATAGTCCAGTTCTCGATTACCACTGAAGCCAACTTTACCTATAACAAAAAACGGTTTTAGAGTTATTTCGAAAAATTACCGAATTTATCAATCTCCAAAGTAGACGTAAGATCTCTATAAAGTCCATCACGATACAAAAGTTTATTTATCCATTCGGAAGGCGTATCAGACAAGCACAAACCAGATGGCTGCGGGCCACCCATCGTTCACTAAATTCAAATAAGTGCCCAACCTCTACAGTTTGTAGTGCGAGCGTGTTCAATTCAATATCCAGCGTCCAATCACCGAACTTCAGTAGACTGAATTGGCATCTTCGCGGTGGTTGTTTGGTGGATAAGGTATGTCGTAATCTGTGAAGGTCGTTGTATGGTTTACTGTGTCACTCATCTGTCGCAGATTGTGATGTCAGAAGGTAGTTTGTTTAGTCTCATGTGAAGACTTTAATTTTTCAAATTTAGATTTCAGATTTACTGGTTGTGGATGGAAGGCTTGAAGCCCATTTTAATCCCTTTCCAGTAGATTTCTGTGATTGTTCAAACCTATCTTCGATGAATCAGCTGACTTTACAGATACCACTTCTCCTGCGAATCGGTTCCAAAAGTTTATGACTCTAAGTGAGAACTAGTACTCCACAGCAGTATGATTTCTTCTTGTTTCTAAACTCTCCTATTATGTTCAATATCCAATATCGTTCCAATATCGTTTTTACGAGCTAGTATAAACCAATTTGATTTCTTTGTGCTCGCTTCTTGATTGTAAGGTATAGGTTCCTGATCTTCGGTAAACTTCTGCGTAGCTTGTCCCGCCACTCGACTGTCGTAGCTTTGGTTGACTCCAAAAGGAGTAGTGCTGGGATTAATTATATGTGGTTTGTAGTATGAGGTATGTTAAGACTGTTACTATATCCAATATCCAATATCCTGATTACGAGCTAGTATAAACCAGTGATTTCTTTGAGCTCGCTTCTTGATTGTGAGGTAGAGGTTCCAGAAGAATGTTCTCTAAATTTCTCCGACCTGGTTGGAAGGAAAAGAGAGAACAAGTCAGGTCCGTAGTCATTATTTTAAATTTTAAACTTGATTAAATCTCCTCTCTGTCTATGGTATGACGGGAGAAGAGATTTAAACTATCTTGCCTTTCCTTGTATGATAAATTATTCATGCCTAGAATCATACGTTTTACCTTCCTATGGGCCCTTTCTAGGATATGTGAGTCCCCTTTAAGACAAGGACTGGCCGCCTAAATACATTTTTGTAGTCTTGACCTTATCAGAGATGTATACACGAAGGTGAATGTATCTCTGGGGATTCTAGTAAGGCTCTGAGAATTGCACATGAGGATTGGAAACTAGGTGCAGCCACCGCGCAACAGCGTGCTGTAGCTTTTAGATCGTGACTTAATGATGCAAGTGTTATTCCTCCTAATTCGCAGGAGCTGATACTTGTGTGTCCGATGTGGATGATTCATATTTCGCCACATTGAGTGGTAGCATCCATTCTCTGGACCACTCTGACAGTTTGTCACGATCTTCTTGCAACGTGAGCATATCACTGTCACCTTTCATCTCACTTCAGATTTCCAAGTCATCTGCTTATAGGCCATAAAGGAATCGGTGAGCAGAGATAACTGATTGATGCACAAAATGAATAGGAGAGGTTCGAGTACCGTTCTTTGTGGCACTCCGTTACTCACTGACGTTCAGAGGGAGAGTTTCGAGGTGATCCTAACCCTCTACCTCCTATCTATGAGGAAATCACCAATCCAGTTTAGTAAGCTGTCTTTGATACCAAGACTTTCCAACTTCATGAGTAGTCTTTTGCGAGAAATTTTATCGAGGGCTTTGCTGAAGTCTATGAAGATGACGTCAACGGGTATTCTGTTGTCCCTTGACTTTGCCCAACTTTCTCTTGCAGTGAGAAGATTTGACGGGCGTAAGGAGCGTCCTTGGAAGGCATACTGTGCTCTGGATAACGAATTGTTGTTTTTCAGATACAATTATATTTTTCTTGACGATTCTTTGTAGTGTTTTGATTAACATGCTGGTAAGACTAATTAGCCTGTAATTTGATGGGCCTTTTCTTGTTCCTCCTTTGTTCGGCTACCTTCCATATTATTGTTATTCCCAAAGATTAGATGTAGAGCATGGGGCTTCAGTTTAATATTCTCGTTTCACCCTACTTTTTGCAGTCTTTTTAAGTCGGCTTTACCATAGCCGATTACTTTTCAGAAACTTCCTTATCCTACTATTGTTTCTGACTCAACAACTTTACTTCTAGGGACCTTTGAAGCTACTACATATGGCTTTATTTATATTAAGAAACCATTCCCTGCACCAAGTACAATCCTAAGGGTAATGCGTTCAGCTTGTTTCTGCGCAGCACTGTGGAGCTGTTCACTTCTTGATGTGAATTACTATCTTTGGCTTCCGCTCCACAAAATTTGCTGTTGTCTTCATCTTTGACTGAGATGAGAAGAGTAGGGTGACAAGGTGTAGTAAAAGGTACTCGAGTAACAAAAAAGGATCTTGGAGAAATGCTTCAAGCAAGCGACTTCAAGTTGTGACTTCACCTAATTTCCGACAGAAGACAAGAATTTAGTTAGACACTCTATTGAACGCCGTGAAACCTATGGGAAATGAATTATGGATTGAAAGAAAATTATATTTAACTTGAAAGTCATTCACCAACTCTGTAAAAATGTACCATTGAACTCATTACGGTAATACATTATCAGATTACGCACTTATGAGTTTTCTTGATCGAAAACATGGTTAGGAAGGCCTCCGTATGAAAAGCAGAAGTTGCCAATTTAAGAAAGTTTTTTAATTAACAAAATAACGAACAATTACTGTAGGTAGCTTGGCTAAATATATGAATGAATATGAACTGATAACAACATTTAATATTATCAAACTGTAAATGAAGGTCAACACTTCATAGGCATCATCGGTTTGTGGAAATGCAATGACAAGTGTTCCACATACTTATACTTTTTAAACAGCCTTCGGGCCGTACATCTCAGATTTACAGCGATAAGGAGCGACAATATCCAATTATTCCTTGCGAAAACAAAGGTTCTCGTGTAAATATTAGTTATCTTGTCTGTACGAGCAAAGGTAGCCATAAATGAGGGGATTATTTGAAGTGCACCCCACAAGTTTCCGCGGTACTATGTTATTTCAGAAGTATTAAGTTCTTGTAATAGAAGATTCAGTCATTTCTATATGGTACGCACTTTAACCACTAATAACCGTAAGTGAATTATCAGGATGACTGGCATTTGAATAAACATGAAAATGAATGTCTCAGTCTGTCCATTGTCAGAGGCTGGTCGTTTCCAGTCGGTGTGAGGTCAGGTCACGCAACAGTGCTGAATTATTCCACTGAATGACTATGCGTAAACTGACGAAAAATACATTTAGCTAATGTTTATATCTATGAGTTATTATTTCTGTCTTGTGCGTGTCTCACTGTTTCCAACCAATTCCATAGTTTGTAAATGATAACATCAGTAAACACCGAGAAAAATGAGTATCTAGGCCGATATTGATAGGAATCGTGAATGGTCGCACCTCCAAATCATTATGCATGGAGCGCTGCTGTATTCTCTTTTGACAATCCATAGTTGTTGTTTAATACAGACCATTGTATTGCTGAGGCAGTTTATAATATATGCTTTGTTGGTGAATTGTGAGCCTGTTTTGGATGAATGCTGTTTATATGCTGTTTGCGTCACTGTTTTTCATTTATTATGTCAGGCAGATATTTCATTGAAGACAGTTCCTATTTGTTTGAGGTTTTATGTTTCGACGGTAGCAGCCTTTCATAAGTTTGGGGAAGAAAATGTAGTAATCCACATTCTGTGCTTGTTTGGGCAATGTATTAGATCATGGGAAGCTATCCCATTATTCAGTGTAGGCCTACAATGTGCGCTTGATCATCATCTTTTGCTGAAATCTGAGGCCAACAGTCAAGCTCGACGGTATTTTATATGATATTCTGTAAAAAATAATGAAACATCTACAGAGTTGGTCTGAGAGCACGACTAGCAATATTTGACGCTATATCAAGTAGATGGTTGTATTGGAGAAACATAGGACGAGAAACTCTTTTGTAATCCCGAAAGCAGGAGGTTGCACCGATGAGAAATCGTATGAAACTATCCGAAAGGGACAGCGGATTACTGGGACCTGAAAACGTAGGCAATTTTGTTGTTCATGTTGGGGGCTTTAATTTAATTGATTGAAATCACATCTTTGTCAGAGAGTAGTTTCATCCAACCACATCCGTATGACTTCAGAACAAGAAAACGCCAGACTTAAAGTTTTCCGTATAACTACTTAACGTATTTTTTGAACAGAACAACGTCACAGTGCTTTCAGACTCTTCATTTGAAGCATAACTCTAACTAGAACGATTCCATCTTTTTCTCTAGCCCATCCGTTAACATTCGCAAGTTTGTATCTTCCCTCCGAATTATCTACGTAGGGGCCACAACAACTACATGAATACGTATCAACTGTTCAATTTTTGGATGGGCGGTGGGAAACTCTGCGGAGCTTGGTTAAAAAGACTGCAAAAAGTAGGGTGAAACGAAAATATTAAACTGAAGCCCCATGCTCTACATCTAATATTTGGAAATAACAATAATATGGAAGGTAGCCGAACAAAAATATAGGCATTAGACAGAAATGTTATTCGCAAGGAATGCGAAAATATAGGAAGATTAGTTTAAGGCCTCTGCCCAAAATACGACACCTCTGAATGGAGAGGTGAGGTAGGAGAAGTAAGTAACTCTTGGTGCGTCACATTCCATTTCACATTTATTACTACATTCTTATTTTTAGGGTGAAATTTTCATTCATGGTAGACACATGCTTTGATTAACCACCCACATAAGTGAGGTACATTCCCGCAAGAAATTCGTGTAGATGAAATTTGCATTGTAAAAGTGTCAGAACATAAATACCAATATCTGGTGATACAACCCCTATTTTGAATTAATTTTGATTCAGAGATCACTACTGTTTGAGCCTTTCTGCCTAACATGATTCACGACATTGATTTCTTACATTTTCATCAGGTTTTGTTTTATCGCACTCAATACTGGCTTACTGAATTCCTTATTCAGTAGTATACGTCGCCATCTTGTTGTTTTCGGTAGGTTTTGTTTTGGTTTTGGTCAGGTATTTTACTAAGATCTG